TCAGTGGGCTTTTGGCTCGGGAGGTTAAAAAGCCTTCCGAGAACAGCAAGGTGTGGCGGGATAACACTGTCCTCTACTCTGGTGAAAAGGGTGTAATCAAGGGCACTATTTTAATTGCCCGAGCCATGGTACAGCAAGGTCTATCCAACTTGGTGAGGGTACATCGTCCACTCCCAGGAATATCGCTTACCAATAACCAAGGTTGAAAATATACGACCGTCTTTAAATCTCATACGCCAGAGACCCCATCAAGAACGGCGCACGGAAGTTTGGCTTAAATCCTTTGAGTGCTGCGCTGCGGTGCTGGATGCAGTCATAGCCGTTCTGGCCCCCGAGCAATACAACGCCCTGGTTCAAATGTTCAACGCGTTCAGCCCTGCATTCAAGGACTGGCCGGTTACCGCCGTCGCTCTCCAAATTATAGCGAACCGGGAGACCCCTTATCATCGGGACCTCAACAGTTTTGACTGGTTCTATGATCTGTTACTTACGTTGGGGGATTATGATGGGACGTTTCTATCGCTTAGGAGCCTTGGGCTGGCACTTCCATATGAACCTGGAACTGTCGTTTTTATGCTTACCAAGCTCCTAGAACACGGTGCGCCGCCAACCAGCACCGGAGAGCGGTTTTGTATTTCATGGTACAACCGTCGGGAGGTTGTGGAGATGTGGTCCGCGACGCTAGGTCTCTCTATTCCGCCGCTTCCGCATTTCGCTTCCCTAGTTCAGCAGATTAGTGATTTCGGTTTCACGTAACTGCTTCCATGTTCACTCAGTCCCTGATTCCAATTTTCCTTCATATGTCAAAAAACCCCTTACGTATATTACGACGGCGTGCGATCGCGTTCTCAACACTGTTTGTCTTCGTTGCTGGCTTGATATCGGCGCTGGAACCGAGAGCAGAGGACTCTCTGAACTGCCGAAACCGGCCATCTAACGACGCGGAAGATGTCGGGCTAGACTCCCCGCACATGTCAGCGGAAGAGGCGGAGCAAAAGACTCACTGAAACAAAGACAGTGGTTCATCGCCACAGCCCCCTAATCCCTTGAATATCCAAGCTCTGAATGTCCAGATGGAAACCATTGTTGGGTGCGCATATGGCCGGCAGGATCGGCAGAGGACGGCGTGAAGGTCGAGGAATGAAGGGCACGCATGGGCGCAGGCATGGCGCCGAATTCGGCAGGTAAACCACTTACCCCAGCCGAAAATAAAATGTTGTGCCGGCGGAGCAGAATACAAAGCCCCAGAGGAGCTGTGGGCAGATTAATGCGAAGAATCCGCTGGTGTTTGCGCATGCTTGCGCCACAAGGTTTCGCGCGGCCACACCTCGGGCTTCTGAACTTCTCGCTGTTTGGTGTTGTCGTTGCGTCTTTCTCGCGGACGCGTCAGATAAGCCCTGGGCTCACTGACGCGCCCCCCAGCCCCTGCCGCTCCTCACTCTCTCACTGAACTCGCCCTCCCTTCCCCTACTATGCCTATGCCTATGCCGCCGACGTTCCCCACTCGTCTCGCCGATACGACCCCTTTGCGGGACTGGGACGATGCTCCCGAGCCGATCGATGACGAAAAGGCCCGCCGGATTCATGACAAGTTCAAACAGAAAATCCCGTCCGGGCCGATGGGGCAGTGGAAGCGGGTGGATGCCGTTCAACTCGGCAAGGCGGCTGGAATAATTTTGTATAAGGTACGTCTCGGCGCGATTGGCACGCCGATATTGCTCTGAATTTGCGTAGTTTTCGTCCCCCACCCTGTCCGACGTCATGAAAGCGGACCTCGACTCCATCCAGACGCGCGCCGCGAAATCCCCCTCCGTCTTCGACCTGGTCGATGTCACCACGGCATATCCACGCCGCGTCATCGTCCTCCGGGGCAGTCGGCAGGTTATGACGGTTCAAGAACGCACGCTCTGGGCCCTCTTCTTCAAAATCGACACATCCGAGGCGGACTTCGAGGCAATGCGCGCGCACACCGCCGCCAGCATCGCCATGAAGTTCGGAGTGGTGTTCTCCTACGAGCCGGAGCCAGACTTCAATCTCGGCGACACGCATGGGTCTGCAAAGGCCGAAGACGCACAGGACTGGGAGGACGAGTCGGACGACGACGAACAAGAACACGGTGAAGGAGAACAGGACGACGACGGCGCGAGAAGTGGCGAGGAGATCGAGTACGACGATCCCGACGATACCGGCCGCCGGATCGAGTCCACATCAACGGTCGCCTCATTGGAGAACGCCACTGGGCCTCCGGATACGACAATTATTCATTTCCGCCGCGTAGTAAGTCCTTTCCTTATCTCCGGCGCACCCCCAAGATGTATTCAGTATGATCTGTTTGGTAGTGTGACAACTGTCTCATGAAGACGCCGGATGGACCTTACTCGTGCTACACTGGAGTACAGCCGTGCGGACCGTGCAAGCATGAGAAGATCCGCTGCTCGTTGCTCGGAATCCGTGGGGATGGATGGGTGCTTGGTACGTCGCATTCGCCGATCCTGCGACAGCCGCATCCTAACGTTCAGCGGCCAGTGAAACGTCTCGGTGTCGTAGCGTTTTTCGACGGCCGGTGCTTTTATCCACTCAAAATTCTGGTCGGCGCACAACGCGCGGTCACCGAAGGGTATCTCGACTTCCTCCTCCACACAATCACCAAAGAAGACTACGCGCTGACGACGTCCGACCCCGTCGAGGTCCCCGAAAAGGTCACACAACTCAGATGGTATTACCACCGCGCCGACAGTCGCCGAATCGCTTGGCGGCACCTGTTTCTTGAGCCCCCGAAAGCGCGGATTGGCGTTACGGCCGCCGAATTCAAGACGATCTGCGGCGAACGCCGCGAATACGTGCGCAATCTTCGTCCGGAGAACGAAGAGAGCCGTGCGCTCCGCCCGTCTCGTCCACAACCCAAGCCGAAGACGTCCCCCCGGAAGCAAAAGCCGAAGCCCGCAGGGAAGTCGAAGGCAGCTGCTGGGCCGAAACGCGGGCAGCAAGTGATTGAATTGTCGGACAACGAACAGCCCGAGCCGTCGACTTCGACTCGTCGTACCACGCGGGCCACCACGCAGGCAGCGTCCAAGCGCACCGCCCCCATTTCCCCACCCTCGACGTCGAAGCCCTCGAAGCGGTTCAAGACTGGAGTAGTGCCCTTCGTGGACGTTCCGGCGCGCGTGAAGAAGTCTGCAAGCACTCGGTCGACGTCGATTGCTTTCGGGCCGCCGGCCTCCTCGCAGGCCTCGTCGACGTCCTATGCGCTTTTCCAGCCGCCGTTCGAAGCGTCGACGTCGCTGTTCGGCCCCCCCATATCCTCATTTGCGTCCTCCGCCACTCGTTCGCGGCCGGAACGCCCGCGCAAGTTGACCTTTCGAACGACGGAGACTTGTACATGGCCTATCTCAGCGCCGCGACGAACTTCAACGAGCGTCGTAGTGATATGCAGGCCGCCATATCGCGTCTCGAATCGGTCGCTGCACACGCCGAAGGCCGCCACCACGTATTGCGCAATCGCTTTCGCCCAAGCGGATTCGCAAATTCGGAGGAATTCCTCACCTGGTCGCAGACTGCGGGCATCGTCATCGCGCAGGCGTTGCGCACCAACCTGCCAGCAAACTCGATCTTGGACCCCGACGTGAAGATGCAGGACGTGGTCCCCGCCTTGCCTCGCGCCGCGCCGAGCATGCAGCCCCCCGAAGAGGTCTCGGAGATCCCTGCCGCGATACCTGCTGCGCTGCCTGCGCCGCCGTCCGCTGCGCTGGCCGCCGCCGTCCGCTGCGCTGGCCGCGCCGCCTCCGCTGCGCTGGCCGCGCCGCCTTCCGCTGCGCCGCCCCGCCGCCTTCCGCTGCGCCGCCCGCCGCCTTCCGCTGCGCTGCCCATGACACCTGCCGCTGCGCTGCCCGCGCCGACGCCGCACCGCACCCAGGGGAACGTGGGACTCCAGCGGCGGAGAAACAGATGACGCCGGCGAAGGAGCATGCGAGAAAACCGCCTGGCAAGAAGCATGCGACTCCAGCCGAGCAGCAGGAGGATGACGATGAGGACTGGCTCGAAGACTGATCGGACTTCAGTAGGGCTCACGCCGCTCGTCGAAAACGACGAACCTAAGTATATCCGGCTGCTAGATATGTTTTTTTGTATGATATGCCATCATTTTGCTGCCTCGCTGTGCCCCGGAACGCTTATATATATGTTGCACATGTGCCCCATGCGCGTCCTCTGGGCTGTTGAAAGGCCTCCAGTGACGATACGCGATTATTTTATCAGTCGCTTCAAAACCACCGTAGTGCCTCAACATCTGCACCTCTGCGTTTGGGGATTCCTTGAGAGACTCGGGACTGCTCCTCAACTCGAGCGAAGCTGGTAGCACTGTTTCGGCGCATCGAAGTATCAAGAATCGCAAGGCGAGGGGATTTACAACCCCTCCGGACCATATGAAAACAGCATTCAGCGGTGGGATACGCGCCAAAGCATCAATCCGGCGAGGATAAATATTGCTTCCTCCTCCTCTGCCTCCGCTGCGGCTCTTGAGGCAGGCTCTGCCTTGACAGGCACCTGGACGAGCACGCAGCCCCCCTGAACAAGTCCTGGAGATCCCTGCCGTCGCGCCCGCTGTACCGCCTGCCGTCCCGTCTGCTGTACCTCCTGCCGCCACGCCCGCTGGACCTATAGCTCCCCCTGCTCCACCCAGTGGAGCGGCTCCCGCCATATCTCCTCCCACCCGAGCAGCAGTGATCTGGATGGATCTGGCGATCCGTGATGCGCGCCCGTGGAGACGCGCCTCGGTGGGCGGCAAGCGCCGTCCTTCCTCTCCTCGTCCTCGTCCTCGTCCTCTTCCCCGCTCTGCCCAGGCAGACGATAGCGACCATACGGTCGACTGTCGCCCGCTATTGGACCCCGGCGTCACCAGGTGACCCCGATCTTCCGTCCCCCTCCCTCCCTCAACCTCGACCTCTATCCCGCCCTTCACTCACCCTCCCGGCCACTCCCACAACAAACACTGCACGAGGACGTCCATCCGGACGTCCTCAGTATGGAGATGAGGATATGGGGGTCGCGGCGACGTGCCGCGGCCTTTGCTTTGGTGAGTCCTCTCCTCCGCGTTCCTGCGTTCCCGACGCCCACCTACACATACTTCCTGTCGCCCCGTCGACAACCACAACAGGCCAACGACGTCCGCCCGGACGCCCTCCTCCTCCCGGTCCTTCACGTCGCCCCCTTCCTCCGCGCTGCCCTCCTCCGCCCATGTTGTCCACCTGCACCACCCACTTCTACGTCGCCCGCCTCTGCGTCGTCCTCCTCTTCCCTCCTCGCCTTCCTCCGCCCACGCCCGCTGCCTCCTTCGTGCCGCCCTCCTCTCCTGCACCCTCCGCGGCACCCTCCTCTGCGCCGCGCTCCTCCGCCCGCGTCACCGTCCTCGTTAGCACCGCGCTCCTCAGTCCCGCGCTCCTCCGCGTCACCCTCCTCCGCCCCCGCGCTGCTCTCCGCCTGTGTCGCCCGCTCTTCCCTCTCGCCCTGCTCTGCCCACGCCCGCCGCCTCCGTCGCACCGCCCGCTCATGTCGCCTGCCTCAGCCTCGGCTGACTTCGCGTGGCCCTTCATGCGGCCCTCCTTCGTACTGCCCTCCGCCCGCGCTGCCTTGCGCCGCCCGCCCATACCGCCTTCCTCCTCGCCCGCGCCTGCCGTCTCCTTCGAGCCGCCTACCTCCGCGTCGCCCTCCTCCGCGTTCGCGCCCCTCACCTCCGCCTCGCTTGCCTTTGCGTCGCCCGCCTCCGCGTCTCCCGCGTTCACATCGCCCACGTCGCCCTCCTCCTCCCGTTGTCCCGACCCTCCGCCTCGTCCTCTACCCTGCTCCACATCACCCGCCTCTACGTCTGCCTCCGCGTTGTCGCGGGACGTGGTATTACTTACTAGTGCACCTATGTAGCACATGAGCCTCCCCTTGCCCCTGCCGGTATTTGTTTTTCTTGCCTCAGCTTGCTTGCCACCCTCTGCCTAGTGAAGCCTGAAAAATTTGATGTCACTAGCCCAGAGTCACTGTTCTGTGGCATTCAAACCGCCCAATTTGATTTGTGCCAAAGATGACCGATCAGCTTTAAATTGTTTTTGTGAGACGTTTTTAAGGGACCCAGAAGAAGATTTCTTTTCTAGTTCTCTGAAAATATTTTGAGACCCCAAAAATAGATTTTCTTTCCGAGTTCTTCAGAAAATGAGGTTTCTGTTTCTAGCAGCCCCAAAACCGATTTTTATTTTCCAGTTTTTTATGGGCACATTGTCTGGACTCTCCTGAGCAGAGCTGGTTTTGTAAAGAGCTAAATCTTTAGTGATCAGAGCAGGAGTGAATTGGCACTACTGACTGCCTGTTTGGCTGATCAGCTGACTAATCAGCTCATGGGGCACATTTCTTGAAAACTGCTTTCAAGAAAGAACCTCTTGAAAAACGCTTGGTGGGTTCATGTAAGCGAATTTCCTGAAAACTGAATCTCCCTCGTGTGAGCGAATCTCTTGAAAACCGAGTGTCTCTCGTATGAGCGCATTTCTTCCAAACTGAATGATCCTCGCATGAGCGAATCTTTTGAAAACCAAGTGCTGCTCACATGAGCGTATCACTTGGATACCGGCAGGCTCATGTGAGCGCATGTCTGGCGAACTGGTAGCCCATTCATATGAGCGGAGTTCTGGAAAACGGAGCACTGCTCATATGAGCGCATCTCTCACACACTGGTGGGTTCGTGTGAGCGCATTTCTCGCAAACTGACAGAAACTCCAACAAGCGCAATTCTCGATGACTGCCAAAATTTTCGCCACTCATTTAAACGTATGTTTCGCTCACAAAAACGCTCGCATGAGCCCATCTCTTATGAACAAGGGCCACTCATATGAGCGAATATTTCCCAAACCAGTCACAGTTCATGGGAGCGATTTTCTCTAGTACTCATCCACCTCAAATGAGTGATTCTCTCATGAACGGTCCCCTTTCAGTTGAGCGGTCCTGTTAACTAAGCAAGATTTCCCTAATATGAGCAGGACTTTCCTAAACTGACTGCCCTCACATGAGCGAGTGCCTTGTGAACAGACTGTTGCTCATACAAGCCTGTCTTTCATGCACATGGATGACCTCATGTGAGCATGACTCTTGTGAAATGATGGCTGTCACATGAGCCAAACACTCCTGAAACCACCTACCTCAATTGAACTGATATTATGAAGGAGCTGGAACAGTTTTTGGGGGGGCCTCATATGAGCGAGAGCACTGTCTACCACCATAAGCTCATATGAGCAGGTATATCGAGAACAGATGCTAGGCTCAATTGAGTGCAAATAAGCGGAATATTCGCATATTCCTGTGCCGCAAATAAGCGTATCGTGCGAATATATTATGGCACTGCACTGCCAGAGCACTCCGGTGACATGTCGTTTTTTACTGATGTGCCCTTCCCACCCCGTTTCGCGTCTCTCTTCACCCCACGCTGCTCGACAAGGCCCAGCGCCTCCGCTTGGCCCAAGCGGATGACGCGCTCGACGATATACGACGCTACCGGCGAATCATCACTGGTATCAAGGAGTTCAATCGGCTCAATATCAGCGGGACTGGGCAGCGTACCACAGGGAAGGTGCGGTCGGTCTACTCGACTTTCCAGAGCAAGATCGATCGCGCCGCGGAACGTTACCGTGCCGCTCGTACAGCGCTTCTCGCACTCGACCACACTGGCGGCTGGCAAGAGCGGCTCAAAGAGCTTCGCGGGGAGGATATTCGAGGTCCAGGACGCCCAGACGACGAAGACCCGACAGGTGATGGTCGTTTCATTGTGTCGTGGATATGGCTTGTGCCTCGGGTGTCGGGCGAGTCTCCTGTCGGTTGTGAAGACATCAACGTCACAGAAGTCCTCGACAACATGAAGTACGAATGGTCTCGCAGCAAGGCACGGGCCGAGCGATGGACGGAAGAGGTTGCGCTACTGGAGGAGGAGATGCGGCGGATTGTGGAGTTCTTCGAGTGGAAAGCTCGGTGGTGGCGAGAGCAGGCTACACGCCGAGGCGACGTGAGCGCGGAGCTGGCAACGGGGCTCGCCATTTACGCAGAGAAGCAGGCATGCGTCTTTGAAGGGCTGGCTATGCGGTGCGTTACTTCATGGCTACCATACATGGGGAATCGCCCGGGCAAGGACGTCCCGTTGTGGCTTCAGCAGCGCGCACCGCAAATTCAAGGCGACTCATCAAATGCCGAGACGACGCGGATGGGGCTCGATGAGGATGCAGCGTGGTTGGAGTCGTCTGCAGATGAGTCCTAACCGTAGTGTGTCACTACAAAGAGACTATTAGATCTTATACGACCTCTTGCCAAATGCCATGTCGTTCGTACGAGCTCGGTCATACAGATACGGTGCATTGGAGAACGTTTGCTTTGGACAAGAAAAAAAAGGGCTCGGCACAGCGAGCGCGACGCCCGAACGTTGTAATGCCTGGAGACGATATTTAGAATCCCCCGACGTGCTGTAGTACCTGGAGACGTCATTTACAGTACCCCAGCGCGCTGTAGTACTCTCCGACCTTTCTGACAATCAACCAATGCGCTGTAATACCTGGAGACGTCATTGAGAATGCCCCGACGCGCTGTAATACGTGGAAACGTCATTGACAATCCGCCGACGTGCTGTAATACCTGGAGACGTTTCTGACAATACCCCGACGCGCTGTAATACCTGAAGACGTCATTGACAATCCCCCGACGCGCTGTAGTACTGCCTGACAATATTTACAATCCCCAGACGCGCTGTAGTACTCTCCGACCTTTCTGACAATCAACCAATGCGCTGTAATACCTGCAGACGTCATTGACAATCCCCCGACGCGCTGTAGTACTCACCGACCCTTCTGACAATCCCCCAACGCGCTGTAGTACTCCCCGCCGCTTCTAACAATCCCCCGACGCGCTGTAATACCTGAAGACGTCATTGACAATCCCCCGACGCGCTGTAGTACTCCCCTACCTTTCTGACAATGTCCCGACGCGCTGTAGTACTCCCCGACGCTTCTGACAATGGCCCGACGCGCTGTATTACTCCCCGACGCTTCTAACAATCCCCCGACGCGCTGTATTACCCGGAGACGTTTCTGACAATCCCCCAACGCGCTGTAGTACTCCCCGCCGCTTCTAACAATCCCCCGACGCGCTGTAATACCCGGAGACGTTTCTGACAATCCCCCGACGCGCTGTATTACCCGGAGACGTTTCTGACAATCCCCCGACGCGCTGTAGTACTCTCCGACCTTTCTGACAATGTCCCGACCCGCTGTAGTACTCCCCGACGCTTCTGACAATGGCCCGACGCGCTGTATTACTCCCCGACCCTTCTGACAATACCCCGACGCGCTGTAATACCTGAAGACGTCATTGACAATCCCTCGACGCGCTGTAATACCCGGAGACGTTTCTGACAATCCCCCGACGCGCTGTATTACCCGGAGACGTTTCTGACAATCCCCCGACGCGCTGTAGTACTCCCCTACCTTTCTGACAATGGCCCGACGCGCTGTAGTACTCCCCGACGCTTCTAACAATCCCCCGACGCGCTGTAGTACTCCCCGACCCTTCCGACGATGCCCCGACGCGCTGTAATATCCGGAAACGTCATTGACAATGCCCCGACGCGCTGTAGTACTGCCTGACAATATTTACAATCCCCAGACGCGCTGTAGTACTCTCCGACCTTTCTGACAATCAACCAATGCGCTGTAATACCTGCAGACGTCATTGACAATCCCCCGACGCGCTGTAGTACTCACCGACCCTTCTGACAATCCCCCAACGCGCTGTAGTACTCCCCGCCGCTTCTAACAATCCCCCGACGCGCTGTAATACCTGAAGACGTCATTGACAATCCCCCGACGCGCTGTAGTACTCCCCTACCTTTCTGACAATGTCCCGACGCGCTGTAGTACTCCCCGACGCTTCTGACAATGGCCCGACGCGCTGTATTACTCCCCGACGCTTCTAACAATCCCCCGACGCGCTGTATTACCCGGAGACGTTTCTGACAATCCCCCAACGCGCTGTAGTACTCCCCGCCGCTTCTAACAATCCCCCGACGCGCTGTAATACCCGGAGACGTTTCTGACAATCCCCCGACGCGCTGTATTACCCGGAGACGTTTCTGACAATCCCCCGACGCGCTGTAGTACTCTCCGACCTTTCTGACAATGTCCCGACCCGCTGTAGTACTCCCCGACGCTTCTGACAATGGCCCGACGCGCTGTATTACTCCCCGACGCTTCTAACAATCCCCCGACGCGCTGTATTACCCGGAGACGTTTCTGACAATCCCCCGACGCGCTGTATTACTCCCCGACGCTTCTAACAATCCCCCGACGCGCTGTAATACCCGGAGACGTTTCTGACAATCCCCCGACGCGCTGTAGTACTCCCCTACCTTTCTGACAATGGCCCGACGCGCTGTAGTACTCCCCGACGCTTCTGACAATGGCCCGACGCGCTGTATTACTCCCCGACGCTTCTAACAATCCCCCGACGCGCTGTATTACCCGGAGACGTTTCTGACAATCCCCCGACGCGCTGTATTACTCCCCGACGCTTCTAACAATCCCCCGACGCGCTGTAATACCCGGAGACGTTTCTGACAATCCCCCGACGCGCTGTAGTACTCCCCTACCCTTCTGACAATCCCCCGACGCGCTGTAGTACTCCCCGACGCTTCTGACAATGGCCCGACGCGCTGTATTACTCCCCGACGCTTCTAACAATCCCCCGACGCGCTGTATTACCCGGAGACGTTTCTGACAATCCCCCGACGCGCTGTATTACTCCCCGACGCTTCTAACAATCCCCCGACGCGCTGTAATACCCGGAGACGTTTCTGACAATCCCCCGACGCGCTGTAGTACTCCCCTACCCTTCGGACAATCCCCCGACGCGCTGTAGTACTCCCCGACGCTTCTGACAATGGCCCGACGCGCTGTATTACTCCCCGACGCTTCTAACAATCCCCCGACGCGCTGTATTACCCGGAGACGTTTCTGACAATCCCCCGACCCGCTGTAGTACTCCCCGACGCTTCTAACAATCCCCCGACGCGCTGTAGTACTCACCGACCCTTCTGACAATGCCCCGACGCGCTGTATTACCTTTGCAACATATTACAGAAGCCTGAAGCCTTGTAATACTTCTCTGATGTTTTTAACAAGAACCAGACACTCTGTAATACTCCAGACACTTCTGAAGTATAACAACAGCCTGGCCGCATTGTTTGATTTTACAAGGTGGCCACGAATCACGCAACGCTTCCACCACGAACCTGGGGTATTGTTTTACAATCTTGGTGACCACAGGTGACGTCCGAGCGCGGCAGGCGAGCAGGATATTACGGTGACCCGCATGGTCGAGCCCGCTTATCCTGACCTCCTGCTGCTAGATCTGCGCGCGACCGCTTCCGGTAGGCGTTGCTGAACGCGCGCGACGCGTCCGCCCCGAGCAGCCGCCCGTTCGGCAGGAGCAGCGGCTCACTGGTTTGTGTTCCTCTTCCTCCTCTACCGATATCTGTTCTGCAGCCGCTCATTCCACCAAGTCCATAGCGGCCTCGACCGATCTGGGTGATTGCCCCGCGCAAGCAAGGCGGTCTCGAGTCGGCCCACATGTCCATGTCCCACGAGTACGGCGTCCTCATCGAGGACGAGGGGATCGCCCTCTGTGGGCTTCTCATCAGAGTCGACCCTGTAGGGTGCCCTCAGGTACGTCCTTGGTGGAGCGGCACACGTCCGGGAATCGCGGCTGATTGTGCGTTCGGTTGAGCTGGACAAGCAAATTACGATCAACAACCTCCCCGTGGGCCGCTCCGTCGAGGGGATCCGGCTCGTGAAGGCATTCCAGTTCTCCTGCGTGCGTCTCTCTTCCTCCGCGTTCCCTGTGGCCGCACCCGCTGACTTCTTCCGCCTCCCTCCCCCTTCCCCGACGCGACCATCCACGCTCAAGGCGACCACCTCCCCGCGCCCAACCAATTCACCCTTTCGCGCCCATGGCGCCCCTCCATGCCCGACCTGTCTATCTTGCCACGCTCAACCGACCTTTCCGCGCTCTCCACATTGACTCCTCTATCAGGTAAGCGATCTCTCGATACGAATTTTCTACATTACTGACCACTCCGATAGTACTCACGATGGCAGGGAACCCTCCCTCAATTCGGGGAGACGTGCTGGGAGAGAGGCTTCAAGCTCGGCCACATCGCCGACCATGTAAGTTCTTTATTCTGCTCATGTGTCCGTTGTGTAGAACACCGGCTGTTTCGTATTTAACCCGAATGGATTATCGTGCGATTGGATCATACTACCTGTGTGATTATATGTACGCCCCTGTGTGCGACGGAAGGCGACAGTGTTCTGCAGTTATCTGTCATCTCCTCCGCTAACTCTGACCTCTTATAGTGTGATACTATCATCTCATGCGCTGCAGATGACCGATATACGGTCGCGCGCGCACTCAGACTTGATAGCCCTGCCCGCGAGAATCGATCATCAGTTGATAGCGGAAGAAGTAGAAGGCCGTACAATACGGGTTACTGCATTCTTTGGATACTAATCTACCTTCTATCGTCTTCGCTAGCACTAACTATCGTACGCTGCAAATGCCCCAGTGCACGATCATACGCTATCGTTTCCGCACCTACTTTGCTGATGTACGAGATCCGCGTGCGGTACACCGAGTACGAGGACTCGGACGCGGGGTAAAAGCACATCATGGGATGGTGGTCACTGTGGGGAGCTGGCGGGAGATTGAGAGTCGGTGGGGTCAGTCTTGGTGATAATGCGGTAATCCGTTGAGCGAACACCGTGACACTATGTACGTCTTGGATTTCTGGGACACCAGCGTGTATACGAGATTCATGAGCCGTTGGCTGCTGTTCCGCCGGTCTCTGACGCGCTGCTCTCTCTTCTACGAGCGCAGCGGCTTGTTTTGCGCCTGAGACTGGAACCCGCGAGACATGAGCTAAATGGGAGGCCGTTTGGGCTTCCAGACTCGTTGGAGGGGGTATTGCTCGGTATTTTGAATATCTTGGAATGTGTTCTCTCCGCCCGCTTCCATATTCAGGATCGGGTACTAGTCCCGGCTCTGTGCGCGGGATCAGGGAAGAGTACGAGGTTTGCGTGAGCGGTCCAAACGTGCCACCTTATCCCGAAGAACTAGAGCGAGATTTGCTGGAGGATGAAAGTATATAAAAGGATATTTCACTCGAAGATGCGGTGTTCGTAGCTAAGAGGCAGGCACGCGGGCGCACGAGTGGAGAACCAGGCCAGTCAGGACTAGCTCTGAAATTTGTCCACAACTCATGCAACGACACACCACCTTTCTGCCTGCCGCCGCCGCCGAGGGGCCGTGCGGCTCCCCAGCTCGTCCATCATCCGCTCCGCCTCCGCCCACTGCTCCTCCACCTTCTCCTTCCACTGCCACTGCCACATCCCGCGGATCGCGCGCTCGAGCTCGCCCAACCGCCGCTTCAGCCCGTCCCCGTCCCCGTCCGCGGCCGCGGCCGTCACCTCCTCGGAGCGCACGCCCACCGCGGTCGGCTCGCCGCGCGCGGGGTCCGCGGCGTACAGCCCGGGCGAGTTGAACTCGTACATGAGCCCGACCGCGCGCGCGTTCCGGACGACGGCGCGCGCGAAGGGGAGCCGGACGGCCTGGTAGATCTCCAGCACGCGCGGGAGGCGCGGCGGGGAGGTGCGCGGGTCGGTGAGGAGGGTGCCGAGGAGGTACGCGTCCTGCGTGGGGACGGCGCTCAACACCCCGCAGGTACTTAGGAGAGGGAGGGAGCGCACGGACCTCGATGGCTTGGCCGCCGCCTGCGCCAAAGTGGGTCGTCATGGCGTGCACCTGCGAGAGCGCGGCTGGGTGAGTGGTCGTGCGCGTTCAGAGCCACGGTGATAATCCACGCACCGCGTCTCCCATCAGGGCGACTCTGCCAGAAACGGAGAACGGGAGGTCGTCGATGACGTGGATCGCCCACAACGTCGGGTCTTCGACGCACTGCGCGAGTGAATCAGCTATATTTGCGGAACGCGCGAAGAGAGGGAGTCGCACGGCGATCATCTGGTCGACCTCGGGCTCCCAGCCCGCGAACTCGCGCACGACGTCGTCCCGGTTCGCGTCGAGCACCCACTTGTGTGGGTACTCGGTGCCCTCTTGCCCGGGCCGCGTCACGAAGCCTATCCAGTTGAGATACTTCCCGTGCGATATCAGGTACGTGATGATATGCTGTCGCGCGAAATCAGCCAACTCGCGCAGACCTTCCCAGAAAACGCGTGCGTACCTTTCCCTTGCCAGAGTACTGCAGACAGTGCGTCAGCCTCGAACGAGGCGATGACAGCCAGACCACTGATCACTCACGCTCATCGGCGCCGCTACATGCAGCGCATGATGCGCGGGGTTGACCGCGCGCAGCCGCTCCGTCGGGATCAAGTACCGGTACGCGACGGTGCCCGTCCACTTTGGGCGGGAGCGGGCGCACCGCGCGCACGCCGCGACGGGCGTGTCGTCCCCACTCTCACACTCCTGCACGTGTGTGTGTGCGTACATCGAGCTGCGCACCGCGGACTTGATCCCGTCTGCGCCGATAACGACGTCGGCGGTTGCGTGGGTACCGTCGGCAAAGTGCAATGTGTGCGTGTCGTTTGGGGAGGAAGGCGGGGGAGGATCGTAGGAGACGAGGCGCTTGGAGGTGTGGATGGTGCAGCGCGCGGGGAGGTGGCGGACGAGGACGCGGACCATGTCGGCGCGGTGCATAGTGGTCGCGCCATCTGTGCGCGCGAGCTTGAGCGCGGAAGAGAGCAAGCGGGAGAGGAGGAAAACCGACCTGGGACCATGACGCGCCCGAACTCGAAGCCTTCCCGCGGCCAGTCCGACTTGCGGAACACGAAGGCGGGCCCTGGAGCAGAGCTCAGTATCTTCTGTAGTGTGCTATGCACCGTGGACTCACTCCACGTCCCCTCGCAGTCTCCATCATCCACACCCGCTTGATGTTCGCTCCCTTCGTCCTGGTCCTTCTTCGTCTCACCCTTGCTTTTCACCGCTTCCTGCATGAGCTCGTCATACAGTCCCAGCCTGCGCATGATTGCCCACGTCCGCGGCCAGACAGATATGCCCGCGCCAACGGTCGTGATCTCGGTCCCGGACTCGTACATGTCGATCTCGATGGGCGACACCGGATCCTCACATCGCCCGAGCGCGATCGCGAGTGTGAGGCCTGCTATTCCTGCACCCCTGGGAAGCATGACACGTCAGGCGAGAAATCAGACCGAGAAACGAGGGGGACGCACACGATGGCCAGGCGGAAGCGCGGTTGGGTGTGTGGACCGTCGTTGGGCATGGCGACGAGCTCGCTCTCTGGCTCGGGCTTCCGCATCACTGCGCACGGCCCTTATGACGGCGAGCTCGTGTGACGTCGTGCCTAGAATACAAGCTCGAAGTACCGTCTAAAGTGGGCTCTGCGGAGTCAAGTGGAGGTTGACACACCGTCGCGTGATGTCAGATGATGAGCCGGTGCTCTGGCGAGGATCATGCGTGTACGGATTGGACGGTTTCGGGATGCTTGCTATGAACACTCGTCTAAAACGGGGATCTGTAACAGACGGATGAGAAACGGACAGGAACCGTGGGGAACGACGCCGTGTGCATTCGAAGCGGCATCTGTTGACAAGCCCGTTACCCCGGAAAAGAGGCCTGACCAGCGACCCAGTAGGCCGTCGTCCGAGAGATAACGGAGAAATAGTGTACGTTCACCGAGATTCCAGTTCTCCCGCTCGTGACAAGCGGGTTTTTGAGGTGATTGGAATGGACTCCGCGATGCAACCCGTCCGTGCGCGTAAAAACGAGAGTAAATAAAACCCATGGGGGCTCGGGAGTCGGGACGTTATACTCCTAACGACAGAAAATGTGCATCTGAGTCTGAGTCGTCAGCAGCTTTTCACCGAGTACACAACACGTCACTCACCATCTCGATCCCTCAGCAGCGGCCCCTTCTATCCGTCGGTGTTTCTCGCGAGCAAGCGCACTGGCCACCACGCCGTCAGAGTGCATCGGAGCCTTACGACAAGTCCATGAGCAAGGGCAATGATGGCGGGAAGGCGGGCCGCGGCGAGTCGTATGCATCGCGCGCCTAAAATGCCGCCGTCGTCGGGCTGCACCCACGATGCAACCCTTGCCTCATTTCCTTTCCGCCATCTCACTCTACTATCCACTGCAGCAGTACGCAACGCATGCGACTAGTGATGCTACTGCTCGGCGCACACTGCCTATCGTGGGTCCGAGCTTGCGGTTCAAATCAAGTCGCGCATGGGTTGGCATACGGCGGGTAAGTCGCGCATGTCTTTCTTTCGCTGGGCACTGTTGCTTAGTACCGACACAGTCCTCTACACTTGGGATGACATCGCTCCTACAAATCTCGCCAGACTGCGCACCCTCCCTCTCTCCCACCTATCGACAGCATGGCTGGATCAGCTACAGCGACGAAGGATATGAATACGTACGGCTCCGTGCTGGGAAAGCTATCCGCTTTTGCGCAAGAGGCCTCTTCTGGGCTCCGTGCGGCTCCGTGGACCCTAAGAAGTTCGAGGTGGACGCGGAGGAGAAGCGAAAGGACTATCCAGGTGCGCTCCTCCATCGTTGCACCCCTCTGACTTGGCTCAATCGTGCTCCGCAAACGCGCCAGACTCATTCAACTTTGTCTTTGGATGCGTGGGGACGGGCGAGACTTACCGCGCGAACCAAAACGAGTTCGTGCACTGGCAGATCGTGCCGCGCGTGCTCCGTCGTATCACCCATCGCGACCTCAGTGTACGTCACTTTCTCGTGCCCGGTTCCTGCGATGTCCCCCTTCCCAACACGAGATTCTGCCCACGAAATAGATATCGCTCTTCGGCGTCATCTATGCCACACCCCTGCTCCTCCTCCACCCCTCGCTGGTTCCAGCTCTACTGGTACGTCGCTGCATCACCCATGTCCGCATACCCTCACCTTCCACAGGCCGCTCAATGAAGACACCGCGCTCTTCCTCCTGTCCCTCGCGAAACATTCGGAGTACAGCACGCTCGTCGTTACCGTCGATACCATGGTCATCAGATGGCGCTACCTCGACCTCGACTCCGGCTTCCTCCCCTTTGCCCACGGACCCAGGATCCAGATTGCGCTCTCGGCGCACACCAACAAGAGCGACATTTCAGCGCTCCTGTACAACCCCGCCGAGATCGACAAGCTCATCGCGTCTGGCGATGCGCGTATCAAGGAGGTTATGCGGCTTGCGGCAGCATGGAGGTGTGAGGCGGTGAACGGGACGTTCAGTACTTGGCAGGACGTGCGCTCCCTGCGCAAGCACCGGGAGGGGCCGCTGGGGTGAAGGGGATATCGAGTCCCGAGGTGCGTATTCATTCCGTCTACGTCGCGCGCACACACCCACCCCTCTTCGCCCAGGACGCGGAGATCGCGATCGACGATGGCGTCGACGGCATCGTCGTCTCGACCACGGTGCGTCCCCGCCTCCGCCCCCTTCGTGCGCATCACGACCAACGTGTCCTCCCAGGCGGTCGCCAGATCGCCCAAGTCTGCCCAGGCGTCGAACAGGTTCGCCGTCCTCGTCGACGGCGGCATCCGCTCCGGCGCGGATATGCTCCGCGCGCTCGCCCTGGGCGCACGGGCAGTCTTGCGTGAGTCTCATCTCCCTTCCACTTTCCGTCTGGGAGAGTGCTGAGGACGGCTCCTCCGCGCTGCAGTCGGTCGGGCGTATGCGTGCGGGCTCGCGATCACCAGGCAGGAGCGCGTCGAGGCGGTGACGAAGAACATCGCCGAGTTCGAGCACTCGCTCGAGCGTGCGCGGCATCAGGCCGTCGCGAATACATGCGGCGCGGCGTGAGAGGCCACGATGAGACTCGGTGAGATGTGCCGGAAGAGCGACGTAGCTTGCGTACGAGGGTACATCCTCCGATATGTACCCTACGAGTATCCGATGACTGTTGCAATGTCCTCCGCGCTCTCTGCCACTGCTGCCGCTGCCGCTGCCGCCTCGCATACCTCCCTAGTTCTGTCCCGCTGCCGTACTTCGCTCATAGAACACCCGGAAGGTCACCTCGAGCGTGTGGCCGTCGTAGGGGGCCAGAGTGCTCGGCGCGAACGTCGCCTCTACCGTCTTCCCCGCCATTTGATGCCGAAGCGTCTTCGGCCACGACCCGTCCATCTCGATGTGGTAGTTCTCGCACACAAACCCCCTCCAATGGTTGGAGGAAACCCTTGAGTCGAACAAAGCGGCGTGATGATGCGTCCATGGAGTTGCTGACCCATCTTCGGGGGGATCTGGGGTAAGTAAAGTGGAACTGTGTCTGCAAGAGCCCAATTGGATGCATAGGCTGCCGTCGTAGCCGGGAGGGGAGTTGAAGGATAGCACCGCGGTATCGAGACTGTGACGCTGCTGCAGGGGATGATCGGGCTTGGTGAAATTCTTGTACGTGAACGGACTGAGAGACCGTAAGAGACTTTCAAAGGAGAGGTGGAAGGGGGCGTTTTCCGAGGATAGTTGTTTGTCGCAGAAACTTCGCAGCTTGGAAAGTTCACGGTCCCCGGGTGCAAGACTACGACTGAGTGGAGGACGCGAATTCCGTAGTTGGATACATATTTCGGCCATTTTCCATTCAAGATCGGCGGGCAGAGGTTCAAAAAGAGATGTGATTGGGCCCATGCGAGCATACAACCCTCGTGCCTTGGCTTCGATCCATAAGTAGCATGGCAGGCGGAAGTCGCAATTGTTGTAACGAATGGTCCGACTGCAGAAGAGGTCGACAAGCAAGGTGTTCTGACTTCGTTCCAGTTGAACCTCTAGCACCGGCGCCGAAAGCATCAATCCATCTGGGGTTATGTTGAATTTTGGGTAGCGTAGGACACTCTGAAATACAATCGTCAAGGACCATTACGCGGAAATATACAGAGACACGCACCGTTTCTTCGCGCCGTTGGAAGTCCGGCTCCGTGCTCTCGTATCCAGCATTGCCCTCGAATATGAGTTGAATTCGGCCCTCGTATCCCCTAGGTGATTGGGGAAGAAGGCCGCTTCCAGGATCTGCAAGTTCCGGCAAGAGTCGTTCCTCCACTAGTTTTCTCCATGTAGACTGCATTCTGTATGGTCCACAAAGAAAGATGGAGGCGTCGCGCGACGTCTTCATGATCTCTTCCAGAAGCCGATGGAACGCCTTCTCACCGCCCTCACCGTAGAGGGCCGGCATGTTGATCCCAAAGAGCCCGAACAGGCAGTACGCGATGTCTTCCGGCCTGGTTGTCTCCCTTCTTGACGCCCAAGACAACCGCTCGGCGATGGACGTGTGTTGGATTTCAGTCTCGGAGCGTAGAACAGAGACTGGAACCCCGGTTGCTTCTTGCAGGAGTTGAGCAAGGTCGTTCTTGTTGCCGAGAAGTTCCCACTGGTCGGAGAAGAAGAACACCACAGTGGACGCGAGAAGCTCCTGAAGCGTCCATCCACGAAGATGCCATTTGCTCTCCCGAAACTTCTCTCCGTATGGGATGGATGGGACGTCACTGAGATAGACGTAGCAGACGGCGGAATGTGAGTAGTACTGGAACATGGAGTTGATGGCCTCAGACAGCTCGGCACTGCTCGTCTTGTCGATACAGCAGGTGTCCACCCAGGCAAAATCGTACCCAACATTTTCCGCCTTTTCGAGAAACACGCGAACTTTCGGGGAGAGCTCGTCGCGAGGGTTGACACACGGGGCGGAGGCGGGGGTGTTAACAGGCGGGTTATGATGCTGAGGGAGGGTATCGGGGGAACCGGGAGTGGTCGATGGCTCTGACTGATTGACGACACGGTGATCGCCCCGAGCATGAGCCTGTGTTTCCGAGGTCCGCAGTGGAGGGTACTTGACGAACGGGATCAGACACTTGATCGACACTAGAAGAGCTGTGCATGCACAAGTTAGCTACTACCGAGTCAGGACATATCTTGGTCGCACATACCGGATGCTTGTCGACGGTGCGTGTTGGTTTTAGGGGAGCCATTCGTTCCGATCAGACTCATAAGCTCCCGCACTTTGCACTCGAGATCCTGCCGCGCAGCTTTCTCCTCGAGAGTCAAACGAGAATGGGAGTTGCCAGATCTTGTGCCAAGCTTCGATGCCATGGAACGTGTTGCGGACAGCGGACTTGGAGTACGAGCCAATGAGTGATTGGAGGAAATCGAGGAGGACTGGCTCAGGTATGGGACCGCGCAAATGCTCAGGTACGTCGTGGGTGTCAGCCCAGATGTGGAACAGTAGAAGACCGGAGCCGTAGGTAGTCGCCGTAGAGGTGTCGAATGCGCGCGAAAGCACGTCAACCGCACGAGGTGGGCTTATCACGGGCCCGTCGGTGACCACCAGAGATGACGTGGATGGGGACCAGGCGGTCAGTCGCGAACTGGCAGCGACATGTGGACGGCATGGATGAGGGCGAGGAGACAGGTCGGGGGCGTAGGGCCGAGGGAACACGTGAGGGCGAGGTGGAAGGACACGATTAAAACGCGTTGAGTTCGTCCCAGTAGAAGGCAGGGCTGTTGACGAGGATGTGGGCAGTGCGCTCGGAGCTTGCACGGTCAGCGTCGAGCGCGCGGGCGGGGTCCCGTGGAGGTTTGGGGAGTGCGTGCGCTGGTGCGGCGAGCTCTGAGGGTTGCGGCGGGGCGTTCCAGTCGGCGAAGAAGCTAGAGACCGCGTCGGGGAGTCGGATGGGTGGCAGGAGGAGGCTAGTTGGGCCGTAGATTCCACGAGACGGGTCGTCGGCAGGGTTCGCAGCGCTGGCAACGTAGCGCGCATGGATCGCGACACGTGCGGCTGCAAGGACAACATTGAGTCGGCGGAAACATGCATTGACCCAGCGGTTCGCTTGGCGTCCTTTGCGCCATCCGCCGATGACGGCTGTGTTGTCACCATGGGCGGCCACGTTGGGTGGGAGGTCGGGGAGCTGTAGAAGTCCAAGAACGAGTAGTTCGAACCCGACGGCTTCGAGCCATTGGATGTCACGGCCGTCTTGCTTCCAGTCGGGAAGGACTCTCCATGCACGCCAACGGCCTTGGATGACGATCCCGATTCCGACACCGGAGGATGCATCGGAGTATGCGAGGAGGTCAAAGACCTCGACCGGGACAGGGATTGGACGCTCGATGTTGCCGTATAGAAGTCGAGCATGCCACCATCGGAGGTCGTCGAGCGCGAATCTGGGGAGGTGCCGTGCGACGTGAGGACGGTCAGATCCGTTGGAAATTGCGACCTCTAGTCCCGTAAGGTAAGCGCGTCCATCAGGAATTGTGGAGCATGCAAAATTGAGCTTGCCATAGAGGCTCTGGATGGCGTCGAGGTTGTGAGCCGGCGCAGGGGAGGCCAGGAAAAGGTCCAGCACGGTGAGATATTTGTCCCGCTTTGAAGGCTGGAGAGCGACAGTGCCACGAGCGAAATCGTAGGACAGGCCGGTATAGTCCGGTGTGGACGACCAAAGCTGGTCTTTCTCCGGCGCCCAGACATAACCGAGTGGAAGCGACACGCGATCAATGTCTGCGAAGGAGTAGGCATAGGACGCATCAGCGTCAGGGCGAAGGGAAGATGTGGAATGATCCCGGAGTGGGCAGCAGAAGTCCTCGATGAATTCCTCGATGCGACCATCAGGGAGCGCATCCCCTGACCACCAGAGACGTCCCCCTCGCGTCCGACGGGCGCCTCGACTCCGGATGCGGTCACGCGCAGCGGCGCGGCGCATGTTTGCTTCAGCCAGCCAGGACACAAGAACTCGTGCCCAGAAGTGGTCATCGACCCAATGAAGGACAGGGCCAAGGCCGTGGGCGCGAAAAATCTCGCAGGCAATGTCGGCAACAAAACCATAAACCCCCCCGGAAGAGCATAACCCGAACGCTGCGCAGGTGTCCACCTCAAAGGAGTTGTCACCTGTGCGGACAACAGTGCCTGCGAGCTGCGAGTGGTGTAAAGGGATAGTTCGATACGCATCGCGGACGTCACGGACAGCGGCTTGTGACCCCGGGGGAAGCATGGCATACATGAGCGCGACAGCGAAGAACGTACCCCAGGTGCAAGGATATGAGCTGGCGTCCATGGCCGAGTTGATCGAGGAGACACCGTTGCGGGGCTCGTGTGGGAAGGAGAAATTCTGGATGAGGCGGAACGAGTTTGGCTTGTGCGGTTTAGGGATGATGGACAGAGGGGAAGTTTGAAAGGGGCCGAGAACGGATTGGATTTCGTCAGAGGTGTATGGTCCAAGGTAACGGCCGAGCCTGCGCTCTTTGCACACGATTTCCTCCAGGTGGTTGGCGTGGTCGATGACCGAGGGGCGATTAGGTGGTGTGAACTGCATGGAGATTGTTGGAATGCCGACGATAAACCCCTGCCGAATTGAGAGAGGCAGCGTGGGGTAGCGGTCGAGGAGTCCGAAGGTACGGAGTTCCCGCTCCCACTCGTCTGCATTGAGTGGGCTACTGTTGTGTTGGCGCACGTGACAGATGGCAAGACTGAGCGGAGTGAGCGGTTGACCCGCAACCACTGCAGACGTGGGGTCGGCACTTGGAAGGGTCCTTGTTCGGGCATCCTTTCGGCAGGTTGTAGCGGAGGCAGATCTGACCACCGCTGGAGGTGGAGAAACCGCGGCCATCCGCCCCACGCTTGACGAACGTGGGTGTGCCGGGGGCGTGGTGCAGCTCGGTTGCGGCGCAGGTAGAAGCGTTGTGGTGGTGTCGACCGAGACACACGGCGCACGCGCTGGTCGAGGACGCGTGGCCGGGGACAAAAACCGAGGTGCCGGCGGAAGAGGATGCCTCGGCCCCTCGTGTGGAGCGAGTTTTGGGACCGTGTGACTGCCCTGGGGTGGGGGAGCTGTAGCGCGAGCGCGACTGCAGCACATGAAGGGCGTTGGGCACACGGAGGCGGCGAGTGAAGTACGCGCGGAGGCCAAAGGCATAGGCATGTGTTTGGGTGACACGAAGGGCGTTGGGGTGACGCGGAGGAAAAAAACGCGCGCGCCGATGGGCAGGCCATTTGAGAGCGCGCGCGGGAGAGAGGGCACCATAGGTTGGACAAAACAGCGACGTGGTGCATGTTTTTAAAAGGAAGACAGAGAGTGAGCGAAAGCACAGGCAAACTGAGAAAACAAAGACACGCACAGTAGAAGAGCTTCGCACGGACTCTAGCTCTTGGAGATGTGCGGCCCGCATGGATGCCATCTGCTGGATGGACAGCTCGCGGTGAATGGTCTCGATGCGGCGATCGTCGAGGACACCGAAGTCTGGGAGTGGCTCCTTCCGGACCAGCCGTTGATGGATATTGATGCGAACCCGTTCGACGTACGACGCCAAGGCTTTCCAGCCCAAAGCAGGGTCGTGCTTGCGCAGGCTGTGCTGCTCGACGAACCCAAAAAGCTTCCGGCACATGCGTACGAACTGATCAGAGTAGACGCGCTTGCCATCGGCGACTGCAGCCTCATACTGTGCGCAGAGGGTGTGCTTGGCCTCGACGAACTGTTCAAAGGTGATGTCGGCGTCGCGAACTTCGTTGGTGCTGCGCTTCGCCCCAGTCGGGGCTCGGGACCAGTTGACGGTGTTGGTTGTGGTGTCGAGGGTTCCTTCGAGGCTGAACGTTGACTGGCCGATCGCTTGAGCGAAGCGTTGGCCTCCCTGGTCCCTCATCCCATCTGCCGAGAAATACCACATGAAGACGTAGTCGCCTTTCGCGAGTTGCGCAATGGCGAACGAGGAAGGGTTGTCGAGGGTGTCGATCACGGGCAACGTGCTGTCGAACGTCGAGCCCATGGCATTGGTCGTCGGCCCTGTGCGTGTCCGGGTACGCCCGCGGGATCGGGAGCGAGCGGGAGGGCCTTCAGGGGGTGGGGAGGGTCCACGGGAGGGGGGCTGCAAGGTGTCGAGATCCTCGAGGAGAGCGAGACGTGCCTGATAGTCGTCCCACGCAGCCTGGCGTGCCGGCTTGCCCAAAGTCCAAACGGTGCGGAGCATGGCCGCAGCGCCAGCATGGTCCGCGCAGGTCCTGTGGTCGATGAGATCTTGGCGTTCAACTTGATGTTGGTCCGCGGCGTAGTCAGGGGCAACCTCGTTGCCTGGATCAGGGGGAGGCGGACCCAAGATCCCGAGGATCGCATTCTGCTGATCGTCCGAGAGGGGCATGATCAAAGGGTCGAAAGAACTTGCCGAGCTGACGGAGGAAAGGCGATGGAGGAGAGAGGGAGGAAGGAGGCGGACGATGCGGCGGGAGGAGCGTCGTGGTTGGAGGCAAGCCGTGGGGGGATCTCAGCCACGCGCGCTAACACGCGCCGCGTGCGCGCTGCCGCAGAGCACGCGATCCGCTCTTGTCCCATTTGGTGTCCTTCCCACTGTACTACTACCACGAAATACATTTCGCCCGCGCACTAGCTGGCGCGTCCACCATAGAGCGTCCAGAGCCGGACGCCGTAGACCAGGCATCACGACACTGACTCAGGGAGTGTAGATCGCAGCGTACCTATGCCCCTTGAGTTCATGAGACGGGTGTCGGCACTGCGTACTCCGCGAGAAATGTGCAGCATGATCTCATGACTTCGGAGAGAGTAAAATGGGGAGAAGGTAAAGAGCAAGGCGCGTCTTAGTGAGAGCTCCGCAGGGCAGGATAGATGTGGATGGTGAGTGGTTCAGTGCGTGTGGAGGAGGAAGTGGACAACCAAGTCTGCCCGCCGCCGAAAACACTCCTTGTCCTGCTACCACGACCACGATAACCGTGGGAATGTCGGTTGTGCGGCCCGCCCTCCTCAGCGAGGGCCAAGGAGACGTCTCTCCACCCAGGAGATGACGGAAAGAGGTCGTTTCTTCCAAAGAGGAGATAAATACCCCTCCGCGACATGCACAATCGGAAACGAATGTGCGCATCCCCCCATGGGGGGAGTGAGCGGGGGCACGGAGTGTCCAAGGACACCCACAGACGACTTCGTCACACCCACGGGTGAAAAGATCGTCCCATGCCCACGGGCGACGAATCACTATGTGCCAGCACGCAGACACTCCCTAGCGAGCCCCTCTGAACCCTAATAAAATGTCAGAAAAACCCTCCCGCTGACAGTTGACGCGCGCTGAGTACGAAAAAACGAGACAGCCGATGGCGATACATACGCGCCGCAGAGACACCTGGCCAAAGGCAGCCACGACGAGTCCTCACCACAACCTGCCCGCTGACGGGCCAGAAACAGGATAAAACCCAGCCCAATGGAAGAGGGCTCGCCGCACACCCCCTCCCAACCCTCCCCTGTGCGCCCTCCGCCGAAGAGGACAAAGGCCAACAAGGCGCGTGAGGTAAGCTCCCACAACAGCCCCCCTGCCTTGCATAACCTCACAACCGCATACCAAATGTAGGAACGAGGTCAACCTTACCCTCAGGCCACACCGACAAAGGAAGCCGGGGAAAAACACCTGCCCCCACGCCCGGGCTCGCAATCACCAACAGCATACCCTGCGGACCCCCACATCGCCCCACCTACCCTCCCCGCCCTACACGGGGAACTGTTCACACCGCCCCAAGCGCCAACGGGTATCCTCACCCCCTACGGTCTACGACTGCCACCACCCACTCCTCCTCCCACCCCGGCCGCGATCCGTGAGCCCGCTCCACCCAGCCAGCCTCTACTGAGCGAACACCCAACCCCGCTAGCGCTCCCTCACACACACCCGAGCACACCAACACACCTGCAGGCCACGCAGGCCACCCTGCTCCCACCGTCCGAGCAGCCACCACTGCTACTACCCGCGCCACCCCCCTGGCGCACAGAAACCCACCTGCTCACACAACAAAGCCGGAACCCGCCACCACCTCCCCAAGAGGACCTTGTCATGGAGGAGGCCGACATGCTTGGGTCGGAAAACGGAGAGGAGAGAGCCATAGGTGTGATCCCAGTCTTCGACCCGGAGAACGACCCATACGACCCCACGAGAGACCTCGCGCGCGGGGCAGGGTACCAAGAGAACCCGCACCTCCAATACACGCGACAAGGCAACGTCCCGGCAGAACCCCTTCTCCCTCACCCCTTCTACGCGCGCGGCCCATTCCCCAACATCCACCTCCCACTCTACCTCGTCTTCGCCGGCTGCATAGCCGATTTCCAGACCCATACCCTTAGTGAGGCGACAAAGTCCATAATCCTTGTCCTCACCCCTCACGGAGCAGGGAAGGGCTGGAATGAAAACGCGGCAGCCACGATCGAGGAAATCAAGAGGTTCTTCGGCCTCATCGCCTTCGACGAGAACAACCGAATGCCCTACAACGTCCGAATCAGGATGGCGCTACGGAGGGAACCCTACCACGAGTCCTCCACCTTTGCGGCACCCCATTCCCTCTTCATTCGTCTCCCTCCAAATGCCATTGCTCTCCGCGACCACCTTCTCGCCCAACAGACCTTTGGGGTCTCCGAATCAAAGGTCTCCTTCTCGATCACCCCGCTCGATGCTGGGTCTCACTCATGGCTTGCATCAGGAAAAAACCATTTGCACGAGAGCGCCGGCCCGAACTCGTGGAGACTCACGTGCCCCGAGTGATGCGCGGGAGGGCTCCGGAGCACTCTGGAGCAACCACCGATGACCTCGAGGGCGCCTGAGCAGTGTGGGAGACTCCGGCGTTCTTGAGAGTCTTGCAGACCGCTCAGTTGGCCTCGAGTGTTCTGCTGGATGCACGGTGGATCTCAGAAGCTTTGGCTGGATGCTCGGGATGTTTCGAGAGTGTCAGCCAGGGGTCAGGAGCTTCCAGGTGCTCGGGTGTCGGGGTGTTTCGCATCGGGAACTTCAACGGACGTGAGCACATAGTAGCTTGGTGATATAATGAGATGCTTAGGCTGTGAGATGCCACCTTTCCAATTCACAGCGCTATCTGAGACTAAACGTGCTCGACTTAGGGGTCAAACGGCAGTTGCATCAAGTAGTATACTATTACATGGAAGATACTGGATATGTAAAGTCTAAATAAGCACCTCGGGCGCAGGGAGGTGGACGCATGCGAGGTGGACACGTTGAGTGTGGTGAGGTGAAAGACGGCGTCGAACACAGTAAAGTAGACGCATTGAGCGCAGCGAGGTAGATACGTCGAGTGTGGCGGGGTGACCGAGCGTGACGAGACGGACGCTTTGAGCACGGCAAGATGGATGTGTTGGTCGTGGCGAGACGAATGCGTTGAGGGTGCAAGACAAACACGTTGAGCGCAGTGAAGTAGACGTGTTGGTTGTGGCGAGATGTACACGTTGAGCACGGCGAGACAGGCATGGAGAGACGGACACGTTGAGCGCGGCGAAGTAGACAGCGAGGTGAACGACAAGATCTGTGTTCGCGGGGCCCGGACCGCTACGGAAGGTGATTCCCACGGCAAGCGCAGGCCGCGTGTGCGGCGGCGTGCGGCGGCGTTGCCAGCTCACGCGTCTTTTCTTGTTTTCCTCCACCTCGCCACCCCTCTCCGCCTGCTGTCTTAACCTGTCAGTCGCTATCGCCCTCGGCCACGCCTTTCTCGACGGCATCTCTCACGGCCTTCCCATTCATGACCTCTCCGCCGTCTCTATCCACGCCTCGTCTTCGATGTGCCTAGGCCTGTCTTGAAATGAGAGATCGGACCTCTGTTGGTTCCTAGTGTTCCGGTGTACGCCCTCATCCGAGGCACTACCAGTATGCTTAGTCATGTATACTACGTTCCCACGCATTGTACAGTACTATGCCGCCGTATCGTCCTAGATCGATATCCAATCTATCATCCTATCCACCATTGTCGTCCTATCCGACACCCTGTCCGTCATCCGGCGTCCTTTCGCCTCTACGGCTCTCTTCGTCCACTGCTCGATTCTTCACAGTGCTCTGGTGCAAATGTACTCGCGACTGCTCCAGAGTGCTCTGGAGAGGGTGCTCGGAGCTACTCCAGAGCACGGCGCCAAGACTCCAGAGCACGCGGGAGCCGCCTGCCGAGCTCCGGGATCCTCCATAAAAGGGTACTTGTCTCAGGCTGCTCCGGCTACTCTCGAGACTCTGGTGCACTCTGGAGACAAGTTGTTTCTGCCTGATGTGCCCTCACCCTCATCGGCACCATCGCCGTCGACCCACTCGACCCGCACGAGGTGGTAGTCGCCCAGCGCGTGCTCGCCCTCGAAAAAATCAAACAGATTGCGCGCGCAGACAGCCGCCTCAAGGAGGCGATCTCGGAAGGGTGTCAGGCCGACTTCCCGAACGACACCCCACCAGAGCTAGTCAACCGAACGATCGACTCCTTTGACCTCCTCCGAAACACCTACCTCAACGATCAAGGGTTCACTGTAGCCAAGTACACCCTTTTCGTCCGCCCCCCGAACCAGCTCAAAGTCGACATCAAGATCTGGAAAGCGATCTGGTCGACGACGAGGTACCACTACATCTCCCTCGGCTGGGATAACCTCGCTGCCCTCAAGGTGGACCCATGCCGCTTCTGCAGAAATGAGATGCATGAGACAATGGACTGCCCCATCCCGAAGGCGGCCGACTGGTCCGGGACGACTCTAGAGTCGCTCAAGCCCGCCCTCCCACCTACCACGAGAACAACGGGCGACCAAATCTCCGGCAAGACCATCTGGAGGGGCAGCGGGAGGGGAGGCAGGACGCACAAGCGTGGCGACCCCCCTTTCCCGATACGAGGAAACAGAGGCGGACGCGGCAGGGGAGACGGAAACAGAGGCGGAGGCGGAGGGGCCTACCGCTCTCGAGTCTAGGATACTCACATGATTCACGCACCCACTACCTCCCACCTTGCACGACGCTACCAAAATGTACCTAGAACACAACCATACTCGTAATGACAACCCCCTCCCTTCTCGCAATAGGGTGTGAGACAGCAAGAAAACTAACCAGCCATGTAGCCCCGAACGCGTCGACCCTAACGATGTGTGGCCGGGGCCCCCTGTTTCTACTGACGTTTGAGCATAGCCCCCAGATCTAGCAACTCTGGCCACCTGGCCCCGCAAGCCGGGTATGCAAGTCACCTACCACGCGACGAACACAACTCAAACCACAGAAGAAGACTCCTGGCAGCTACTGCAGCAACCCCGGCATCCCCTCGGCAACGGCATCATGGCGGCGTCGCGCTCTGGACGGGGCGAGGACGCGCACACGGTCAATCCCCCGAGTGAAAGAGCCGGCGTTTCGGACAGTGGGCAAACGAGCCTGTCAGGCGAGAGGCATATGCTACAAGAGCGCGAAGATCAAACCCCCTCACGCCGACAGGCCGTCCAGGACCAAGCGCAACATAGCGATGGTCCTCATGCGGTGGGTCTGAACCCACGCGCGCGCGCCCACGGGCGCGCAACACCCGCCTCCATGGAGGACGGGTTGCCCCGGCTCACACCGGAAGGCAATGAGGGCCGCGATGAACAGCGTGCAACCCCAGAGGCAACCCCAAGGGGTATGACCCAAATTCGCGCCTCCATGGAGGACGCGACGCCCCGGCGCACCCCGGATGGCGAACAGGAACGTGACGCTCGACGCGCGAACCTAGAGGCGACCCCACGGGGTACGACCCAAATACGCGCCTCCACGGAGGACGCAACACCCCAGCGATTTGAACCAGAAAGTACGCAACGAAACGGCGCACAATGCGTGACTCGTGAAATCCTCACACGAGATCACAGGCACAATAACATGGAGGTCGACCGCAACAACGCGCAAAGAGACCCAAACAACCGGCGTGCGGACCAGATTGCCAAACGAGTAAGCACCAGATTCGCGACACTGAACATGAATGGGTTTGGAGACCTCGTACCGGGCTCTGCCTTGAACAAATGGGGAACCCTCTTCAAAGAGATGAAGGACGCAAAAATCGGGGTTCTTATGCTACAAGAAACACACCTAACCATCGAAAGAACACTCCGACTAGAAGGAATGTTTGGCAATAGAATTAAAATCTTCGCATCACTAGACCCAGAAACCCCGAGTGCCAAAGCAGGTGTCGCTTTCGTTCTAAATAAAAGCCTGGTAAGCACGAAAGACGCAAGCGCAATCGAGATAGTACCTGGCCGTGCCCTACAAATATCGATCCCGAATCAGTATGGCGAGGTAACTCACGCACTATGCATCTACGCACCAGCAAACGGAAACGTCGCGAGGGCAACGTTCTTCCAAACGGTCCTGCAGCACTACGAACGACATCCGCTGACCCCGAAGCCGACCCTGATGGCGGGAGACTTCAACAACACCGAGGACGCTATCGACCGCTTCCCCACAAAGATCCCGGAAGCGTCAATCCAAAGCCTAGATGAGCTAAAAGCACACCTGGGCCTAATGTTAGCGGACGGGTGGAGAATGACACACCCAACGAGCGTTGACTACACCTGGTATGGAAACCGGACCGGAGGCGCCCGCATCGCGTCGAGACTAGATCGAATCTACACAACCCAAGGAATCTTCAACGAAAATGCGCGGGACTGGCGAATCAGAGCACCAGGTGTCAGAACAGACCACTTGATGCAAACCGTATCAATAGCATCTCAAAACGCACCAGAAGTCGGAAAGGGACGACCGGTTTTCCCCAAATGCCTAATAAAAGACAATAAATTAGCGAAGAAAATGAAGGAAGCAGGGATGAACGCACAGAGACAACTAGACAGCCTAGAGCAAGGAACGACAGAGCGAAGCATTGAGCACAACCCACAAACAATTCTCCTCAACCTGAAAAACCAGTGGATGAGCGACGCACGCAACAGAGAAAAAGAAGTGGTACCCCGAATCCTTGAGGAAATTGAAGAACTAAGGAAGACGAGACGCAACCTGCAGAAAAACAAGAACATGGAGGACCTGCTCAGAGTCTCAGAGCTGCAGGCGGTCGCAAAACGACTAACGGAGCTCAGACTCAAACGTCACAAACAAAGACAAGCATGTTAGAAGTCGGCGGCTCGGTCGGGGTCGGACGAGGAATAAGATGCAATCGATACGACGCGGTTGGTCCCTATGGGCACCGGGAGGCGAGTACAGACGGACGCGGGGGAGAACGAGGTGGTGGGGAAGGGCAAACGCGTGAGGCGAGTGCGGGACGAGGGGCGGCGGCTATCTACGGGATGACTAAGCGCTGGTACCGTACGACCGAGCTTGCTAAGTATGCGGGCAGATTCCAACAGGCCCCCACAAGCGAGGGCGTATAACGAGCACAAATCGAGGGGAAGACGGTGGTACAAAATGCGAAGGGTCGAGGACGAGGGATCGAGGACGATGGGTCGAGTACGAAGGATCGAGGAAGACGCTGAATCGGTTACGCTGGTTCGAGGACGATGGATCGGTTTACGCTGGTTCGAGTACGATGGGTCGGTTACGCTGGATCGGATACGATGGATCAGGGTTTACGCTGGATCGAGGAGAGACAGGGGCATAGAATCGAATAAACAAAATCAACGTGACGAGGATCGGGGACAGGGGATCAAGACGATGATGCGGGCGACCAGCTACAACCTCAGGAGAGCAAGCGAATCACGATGTCGAGCACGCCAATGACGGCCGGCTAAAGTAACCACAACATGCCGACAGGGGAGCACGGAGGCGAGAAGGGGGAACGAGAAAATGCGCGAGGGGAACGAGAATCGAAACGTACGAATGTCCCATGAAACCTAGTAAGAGAACGCCACAACGGGGCTCTCCGAACCACTCCGGGACGACGGGTACGATGGGCCGAGTGCCATGGCGAAGGCGGCGCGCTCCTTGAAGGGGATGAGCGGATGCAGGCAGTCCTGCTGGTAGTGGCCCTTGTTCTTGCAGTTGTAACAGGTGATCTCCGAGAGCGGGACTCGACCACGAGGAGTACCGGTGGGAGCAGGAGCAGGGGCGGTGGCAGCGGCACGAGCAGCGGGGACGAACGTGCGAGCAGTGGGGGTGAACGTGCGGGCGGCAGCAGCAACGGCGGAGGACGGCAAGGGTGAGGATGCCTCCGATGGGGCCTTGCGTGATTCCTCGTTGACGAGGCGGATAATGACGTAGTCGAGGGTGAGAGACGCGGAGGGGGTCGAGTCGAGGGCGACGACAAGACTGTCGTACTCTTCGGGAAGGCCCTTCGTCAGGACGATGATGATGTCTTCATCCGGGACGTTCGCTCCGCTTGCGTTGAGATTGAATGCGGCTCTGCGGACGCTGGAGATCCACGTGTTCATGGCCTGGTCAGGCTGCTTCGACATGTTGAAGAACTCGCGGCGACGAGCGAGGCGGGTGCCGAATCCGTGAGCGCGATGGACAGCTTCGAGGCGAGTCCAGATGTCGGCCGAGGTCGTTGCACCTTGGACGTGGCCGATCTGCGAGGGGGAGAGCATGAGGTTAATCTCGGATCGAGCCTGCATGTCTTTCTTGTCCCAGGACTTGACGGCGACGTGCGCAGGGGCGAACGGAGGACGCGAGAGGGCACCGGACGCAACTTCGAAGACGCCTTGACGCGTGAGGTGAGCTTCCATGTAGAAGCGCCATTCGGGGTAGTTGTTGTCTTCGAGGCGGGAGAAGTGCGGGGCCATGGTGGAGATGGAGGGGCGATTCTTGCGATAGGAGGTGTGGGGGTCGAAGATCGGCGGGGAGAAAGCGGGATCGGAGGGTCGCGAACGGGTCGGAAGTCGAAAGGGTGATCGCGGGTCGGAGGGGGCTTCGGATCATCGAGATCGGAGGGCGCGGACAACGAGTAGGCCGGGCGCGGGCGCGGAATGACCTCCGGGCAAGGGTACGCGTTTGTGTTAGAAGTCGGCGGCTCGGTCGGGGTCGGACGAGGAATAAGATGCAATCGATACGACGCGGTTGGTCCCTATGGGCACCGGGAGGCGAGTACAGACGGACGCGGGGGAGAACGAGGTGGTGGGGAAGGGCAAACGCGTGAGGCGAGTGCGGGACGAGGGGCGGCGGCTATCTACGGGATGACTAAGCGCTGGTACCGTACGACCGAGCTTGCTAAGTATGCGGGCAGATTCCAACAAAGCAAACGGAAAAGCGACCCACCGAATCGCGGGGGAAGTCCCCTCAAAGTACTGGACGGGCATCCACAGAGAACCGAAGCCAAGAGACCTCGTTAAGGCCCTAGAAACGCCGAATCAGAACTCGGAGACCCCAGAATACGAGACGAACTCACAGAGAATGGCGGAGATGGCAAAGGCACACCACGAAACCCTCCAAGAGAACGGAGTGTCAGTCACGCATGAGAAAGACAGAGAGATAGCGATAGAGATCACGCTAGATAACATAGAAACACACGTATCAGATGATCATCGAGAGGAAATGGAAGCCCTGATAGAAGAAGACGAATGTGAGACCGTGCTAGACGAAGCAAAAAAAGGCAGCGCACCCGGACTAGACGGCATCCCATACGAAGTATGGAAAACCATGCATGCGAGATACAAAGAAGATGCGAGACACGAAGATAAGCCAACCATGAACGTTCTGAAAATTCTAAGAGCTGCCTACCAAGATATGCAACAAAACGGAATCTGCCCTTCCGTACCCTTCGCGGAGGGATGGATGGCACCAATCTATAAAGGAAAGGGAGAAAAAGCGAAGATAGTCAACTACAGACCAATAACTCTGCTTAACACCGACTACAAAATATACACCAAAGTACTCACCATTCGCCTTGCAAAGGCAGCGCCCCACCTGATCAACGAAGCGCAGGCCGGTTTCGTCAAGGGAAGGAAAATCCACCACCACACACAACTAGCGCGACTAATCACCAACTGGGCGGAAGCAAACGAGATTAACGGTGCAATCGTAGCGCTGGACCAAGAAAAAGCGTACGACAAGATTGCCCACGACTACCTATGGAAGGTCCTAGATGCTTTCGGAATCCCCAGAAGCTTCAGAAACGCGGTCGAAGACCTCTACCGAAACGCAATGACATCAGTAATGATAAACGGCCACCTGAGTAAAACGTACCAAGTAACGAGAGGCGTCAGACAGGGAGACCCCCTATCATGCTTACTTTTCAACCTCGCGATAGAACCCCTGTCAAGTATGATCAGGAAAGCCGATATTGAGGGAATCAACATACCCGGAGCACTCGAGAACCTAAAGGCGACGCTATTCGCGGACGACACCACAGTTTTCATGTCCGAACTAGACGACTTTGAAGCCCTCCAAGAGGTCCTCGACGTCTGGTGTATGGCAGCAAGAGCGAAATTCAACATAGTAAAAACTCAGATCATCCCGATCGGAAGCGAAGCTTTCCGAGAACGCACCTTAAGAAAACACAACTCAGAAGAGGGCTGGAATAACTACCCGAGAAACGTCCACATGGCCGAGGACGGGCACGCAACACGAGTCCTCGGAGCATGGATCGGAAACAAACTAAGAGAGGTCGACGTCTGGACCCCGACATTAGCAAAAATAGAATGTGCAGCGAAAAAATGGGCCGCAACGCACCCGACGATAGAAGGAAAAAGACACGTCATCCAAATGTTCTTCGGAGGGATGACACAATACTTAACAGACGTTCAGAGGATGCCAAAAAGCGTTAAAAAGAGACTTACAACAATGATGAGAGACTTCCTCTGGAATGAACGACACATCCCACCAGTCGCGATGCAAACCATGACCCTCCCGTTCGAGCAGGGCGGCATGAAAACACTAGACCTCGACAGCAGAAACGAGGCTATCGATGTCATGTGGCTGAAAGAATACGCAACAGTAGACGGAAACGATTCGAAAAAATGGTGGACATACCTTGCAGACGATATCCTCGCATCAAACGTGACAAAGGACGTCAAACCAAAAGAGAGAAAACTAAGAATCAACCCATTATACCAAACCTGGAAACCGAAGATGAGCGACCTCCCAGATGAGCTCAAAAACATGATGAAAATGGCGAAAAAATACGCGGTAGTGCCAGACGGCATAGCAATATCCAGGCATGTCATGAGACAAATGCCCATGTGGGACCATGTCCACGCAGACACGAAGAAATTAAAACAACTCACCAAAACCTCACAGGCGACCTACTGCCTGATCAGAACCCACGACCTCAAGACAGTCGGAGACTTCGAGAAATTCGCGAGCAAGCTACAACGAAGGGGCCACATCCCAAGAGGGAAGTGCCCATGCGCCGAATGCAAAGAAACGAAAGAAAACACGGGGTGCTTGAACCCTCACAAATGCTTTGAAAGAGCGAAAACGTACCTGGACACCCTCTCCCCGAAATGGGATCCCCGAGGCGAACACCAAGAGGACCACGAAGAGGCCCAACTCGAAGAGTCGAAAAGAACCTTCGAAGAGGAAGAGAACGCCGCAATCTTCGACCCAAGGGTAACGACTAGAGGGAACATAAGCTCAACGCTCCGCATCTTCACAGAATACTCGATAGAAAACCCACCGTACAGAAACAAATACCTGAATAAGTTCGAATCGGAAGGAGGAACCTTGACGCTAGCAACGGACGGTTCATGCGTAAGAAACGGGGAAGAGGACGCACAAGCGGGAGCAGGGGTATATGCGGGAGCAAACAACGCTCTAAACCGAGAAATAAGACTCCCTCCAAACATCGAGCAAACAAACCAAACTGGGGAAGGCGTAGCAACACTCACCGCCTCCGAAATTGCGGACCGACGTACTCCACTTCTCCAACTGACCGACTCCAAAACAGTCATGGACGAAGTCACTAAATATATGAGAACGAATGAAAACACGGGATACATCGGTAAAAAGAACTCGAACATCACCAAGGCAATCATAGCGAAGCTACGACAACGGAAGTCGCCGACCGCCTTCAAGTGGGTGAAAGGACACAATGGACACGAACTAAACGAAGGAGCAGATAAGCTCGCAGGAACGGGAGCAGAGAAAACAACGTACGACGATATACCATTAGACGTCCCTCCAGAACTGAAGATCTCGGGTGCGCGACTCGACCTCATGACGCAAAAGTCAGCCTACAAGGCGATCAGAGTGAACAAAGCGAGAACAACGAAAAGAAGGATACCAACCTCGAGAAACATCGACAAGATAAAGGACGATTTTGACCGGGCTTTTGGAACAAAGCTAAGGGAGGAAACCATATGGAATGCGGTCAGAAAGAGAGACAAAATCACAAGAGAAGCGGCTCAATGGATGTGGATGACAATCCACGACGCATACATGATCGGGAACAACTGGCTGAAGCCAGACATGCCCGAAGATCTCAAGGAAAGAGCGACTTGCAAAACTTGCGGCCAAATAGAGACAATGGAACACGTACTCTTCGTATGCACCGCAACTGGCAGAGAAACGATATGGAAGATCTTGGCCAAAACGTGCGAAGCCTCTGGCATGCCGGAAATTGTCCCAGATTGGGGGTCGATATTCGCGGCCGGAGCAATAGAGCTGAAACAGGGGGATAACGAAAAAGAAAGAGACACGGCGGGAGAACGAAGATGGACCACGCTGGCGACAGAGGCAGCACACCTAATATGGAAACTGAGGTGCGAAAGGGTGATAGCGAACGAGGGTCGAGAACACTCAGAGCGAGAAGTAAAGCAGAGATGGTACGCGACGGCTGAACGGCGCCTAGATCTCGATAGACGCACGGCGGCTCAAATGGACGGAAAGAAAAGGAAACAAACCATCTACAGAGTCGAACAAATATGGAAACCACTTCTAGAAGACTCAGAAGACCTCCCAGAAGACTGGGTAACATCATGCGGGGTTTTAGTGGGTATTAAGAGAGGACAATAGCACCTCCCATAGGATCTTGAGTCCCACACACAGTGCGTAAAAGCATTTCCTCGCGGTACACAATATGATTATGACTATGATATAACACTGTCCGACCCATGGTTTCAACTCCACGGGAACGACAGCCCACACGCTTACACAGGAGGTACAACAAGCCCGAAATGGGACCAATGCCTCCGTAAGACAAACGTGTTCTACCAAAAAAAAAAAAAAAAAAAAAAAAGTCTGCCCGCCGAGACTCGAGAAGGCGGCGCCAATGCACGCGAAAGCTGATGTAAGCGGGATCTGCCTGGTGCCATCGCTCGTGTGCCGCAAAGCCACAGCTTCTTCATCGCGACCATGTTGAGCTCGACCTGAACGCGTACTATGGCAGGCTCCAGGGGGAAATACTCAAACGTCCGGCGACGTCTCACTTTTCGCTTGGAGCGGAACCCCGCTCGATGTCTTCAAAAACCCCGTCACACCGTCAATTTGATATCCTCGGGACCTCTGGACGTCGAACCTGCGGCGATATTATCTCTCTTCTCCCAATCCGCCTATGCGTACTCAGTTCAAGGGAAGATGCAGCACGAAAAGCCGAAGTTTGGTCCAGAACGCAGCAACCGGATGATTAAGGTTCGTTCGTTGTTTCCTCCAAATGAACACGACTTGCTGAGAATTCTCGCAGGACCGTTCAAACGTTCAGGCCTTTCAGAGCGACCAGAAAGAAGATGAAGACGTCAGATCAGTCTCCCGCATAAATTGCCATGCCCACAGGGATGCTTGTGACCGCACCAGTACTCTATCTGGATACGTCAAAGAACTTCCTCCCTTCTTGACCTCTTCTGCGCCGATACCGTGTGGATCGATGGCGAACGTTTGAACTTCGCCGTCGCCCCTGCTATCTCCTTATCCAGCGACATGACAACCGTTCCGTCCGCGGTCGCCCGCCCTACCACTGCGGGGTGACAGGCCAGATCGTGTCCACACTCGCATACGAAGATCCATAGGACATCCCCATCACCATCCACATCCGTGTTGTCGCCTTCTCCGTCGACCCTCCGCACGACTCCAGCTGGACCACGTCTGACATCCATCTCACCACTCGACCGCCGTACTCTGCGGACCCGCTTCTCCCTCGGGCGCAGCCTTCAGTGTCTCCGTCACTTCTGCGAAGCGGCGATGATGGGGGCGCCGTTCCAGCTTACGTTTCCCGACTTCTACGCCCTTGACATGCGCTCCTTTCACCTTGACCGAAACGCGGCCATCGTCCCCGCCGTACCTTTGAGCCCTGACGACAAGCTCTTTATTTCAAGGGCACCTCCGTTGAAGTGGACCGCGCGTCGTGGACGGAGTCTGCACTCCCGCTTGCGCTCGGTCGGTGCACCCTTCCCCAGGACGAGACTCTTCCCGCACACCCTCGTCGCTATTGCTCTCCTTCTACCGTCGCCGATACCGCGCTTCCACCGGATGTGGGTCGAATCGGACCCGGCGCGCACTTTACCAGCATTCACGTGTACAACCCGCTCGTGACCCTCGACTCATGCGCGTGCGACGTTCGCGGGCGTGCACGACTGCGCGCGCGACCATATCCAGACCTGGGCGCGGTGGTCGCGACGGACTCCGCCCTTCCCAGACCCCCGGTCACCTGGGACTGCGTTGGAGCTGTCGTTCGCGACGAGTCCGCTAGGCAGCCGATGAAGATGGATCTACGACTCGTGACACAACGGAAGACAACTTCTTGAAACCGAGCTCGCTGGACATCCCAGTTCCGTTGTCGCCGTTCGCGCTCCTAGAATTCTCTACCCAACCGCCAACCAACTTGACGAGCCTCACGCTCACCTCCACCCAGCACGTTTCCGTGGATTTTCGGACCTCACGATGACCGTAAAGCTATGACGTCATGTCCAATAGATTCGCCGGCGATACGGCGGATCGCCCACGCATCATGTCGAGGTGGGCGTCCATGTCAGGCGAGAGCGTATATATTGACACAAACATCCTCGCAGTCCTTTCCTCCATCTCACTCATCCCCACGTCCTCGATCAGGTACTTCGTCACTGCAATTGTCCGAAAGTTCGTATCTTGACGCGTTCATATCGCAGACCATGTGGCTGCTCAGCACGGCTGGAGCGGAGCTCAAGTTCTTCCCTGGGCCCGAGGCCGTTCCCGGTGGCTACGCCATATTCTCCCACGTCTGGTTGCAAGATTATCAAGAGGATACGTTTCAGAAGGTGCAGATCAACGCGGATCAATGCCCAGGAACTTCAGGAACTACTCGAACGTCCACTCACCAACACGCCCTATCATCACCCCGCCATCTGGTATCGCCCAAAATCCGCGGTTTCCTCACTCTTGCCGAACGCGACGGTTACGAGTGGGCGTGGGCGGACACGTGTTGCATCGACAAGACGAGCAGCGCCGAGCTCACCGAGGCCATCAACTCCATGTTCCGCTACTATGCGCTCTCCGGCGTCTGCTACGTCTACCTCAACGATGTCTCCGTTGAAGACGATCCGGCTTCACGCGGTATTACGACGGCCTTCCCGCTTTCCAGATGGCACCGGCGCGGGTGGACGCTCCAAGAACTGCTCGCATCGCGCGTCGTCGTCTTCTTCTCCAAGGAGTGGACCCCGCTCGGGACGAAGTTTGAATTCGCAGACCTGCTACAGGACATCACGGGCATCCCTTCCGAGGTCATTCGACTGGAGAAGGACTTCACCGACATGAGCGTGGCTGCGCGCATGTCATGGGCGTCGAAGCGGGAGACGACGAGGACCGAAGACGCGGCCTACTGTCTGTTTGGGCTCTTCGGCGTCAACCTTCCGACGCTGTACGGCGAAGGTCAGAACGCATTCTACAGGCTGCAGGAGGAGATACTCAGAACATCCGGCGACGTGTCTCTCTTCGGGTGGAGCGGAAGTACCCCGGTCGTATTCACAACCCTCCATAGGCTCACCGTGAGTCTCCGAGAATCTCTGTGGACGTTCGACATGGGCCAGTATCACTACCTTTTCGCTCATTCCGCCTATGCATACTCGGGGCAGGGGAACATGCGATACGAAGAACCAGCGACTCGGCCCGGAAGCTGGAAGAAAACATTCACGGTTCGTTGATATGCCGTCCCGTAGACGCGATCCGCTGACCCATCCCTATAGGCTCGCATCGCATCGCTCGGCCCACTGGCTGGGAAGATGAAGGCATGGACCTCTCATGCCTTGCGGCCTCCCACGTTCGCCAACACGCCATCCGGGATGCTCTTAACGGCGCCAATGATCTATTTGGATGCAGCAAAGACCTTCCTTCTCCTCAATCTGTTCTGCACAGACATCGTGGTGGTCGGCGGGGAGTCTCGTCGCCAGCCTTGCTACCTTCTTCTCCAGCGCTACCAAGACCACTCCGTCCATGGGCATCCGCTTTATATCATCGGGGGCTATATCACATCTAGGAAACCCGGCGAGCGCAACATCCGCGCTGTCTCCTTTTCCGTCAGCCTTCCACCCGATTCCCACTGGACGATGTCGGAGATCCACGTCGCCACGCGGCCCCCGTACTCCGCAGACCCACTCTCCGTTCCTCCCAGCCTGAAGCACCTCCGCCACTTCTGTGAAGCTACAACGATCGGGTCGCCGTTCCAGCTCTCCTTCCCCAACCTGGCCAGCCTGCCCGAGTTTTATCTGTACGACAGCGAAAGCGTCATACCTCCCGTCCCCTGGAGCCCCGCCGACTCGCTCTCGCTGCGCTTCTTGATCGTCGAGTCCAGGAAAGTCGACGGGGCGGTGTCCAGGCACATAGCCCGCGTCGACCTCGTCCTCGGTCGTTGCACGCTGCCCGAGAGCCCGGATCGAGACGAGACTCTTCTTGCCGGCCGCCCACCTTGCTCTCCAGGTGGCCGTGGGCACGCCCCATCGTCTGGCACCCTCAGTCCTGCCCCACCCGCAGGATCGCGCGCTGGAGACCCGGGGGGCCGACCCGGCGCCCACTTCGCCCACGTGTACGTTCACGGCGACTCGTTCAACGGGGTGTTGACGGACGTGCACGACTGCGCGAGGGACCACATCCGCGGATGGACGCGGTGGACGCGGGCGGTCTCACTGGGGCCCGGCCGAGGGGCGCTCGATGTGTCGTTCACGACGAGTTCGCTGAGCAGGACCGGGGAGACGTTGAAGATGGCGCTGCGGATCGTATCGAAACCTGGAGATAGCCTACGCTGATATCGCAGGCTTAGTCAAATTACGCACTCTAGTTCTCCCAGATTGCTACACGCCCAGAGTAGCATATTATGGTGTAGCCAGTGAGCGCTGAATGCACATGTAATGATACACCTATCGATCTGAGTACCTTTTTACTTCGTGGACAGCATTCTGATCGTCTCCATCCCCAATCAGAACAACAACGAGGCCGCCTCTGTCGAGCGCAAATCCAACCCCTCGCTCAGCACGACCTCTTCGTCTACCATCCGCCCCGTCGGCGACACGTCCCCGCTGTCTTCGTAGCTCTGCCCCGCCCACGTCAGGCCCTCGGTGTCGTCCGCGTGCCCGATGACGAGCCGCCTTCCCGCCCCCGCGCCAGAACGCGTCCCCCGCCACGCCCGCGCCGCGCACGAAGCCGAGGTCAATGTGGACGCTCGGGCGCGCCCCGGTGGGCGACGCGAGCCACGCGTGCAGGTTGACGAACACGGCGCGGAAGAGACGGCCGTGCTCGTACTACGCCGCCGCGTGGTCCGCGACCTTGTCGTCGCCGACGTCGAGCTCGACGACGCGCGCGTGACCGCTGCGGCCGACGAAGGAATCGACCGCTATGCCTCGGTAGTAGACCAGTTTGGCGTGTGGCGGGAGCCGCGTGTCGGGCGCGGCCGTCGACGTCGATGGATCGGTTGGGCGCTGCTGTGGGTGCCAGGTGAGCGGAGGTCCGGTCCGCTGGCAGAGAGGAAGCGTACAAAGTTGTACTTGTAGCCGATGCCTTCGTGGTCGATGTCCTCGGCGATACTCAGCGTGGCTGCTTGGAGAGTGTAGTCGACCGCCCACGGCGCGGCACTGGCTGTGTTGCCGGCGACCCCGGACGCGTCATGCCAGTATGGTCGACGTTCCATGCACGACGGAGGAAATAAATGGAATTGTCGGTTGGCTCTAAATCATGAACTAACGATGCACGGTTAAATATTCAATGGGTTGTGCTCTATACCTCGTCCCCAAGGGTGGTCAATTACAAACCAATCAATCAGTCCGTCTATGGACTCGAACTTGCAGCGTTTCTATACCAAAGGGACTAGGAGAGAACGATAGCACAAGTTCCATCAACCGATACATTGCCCGGCGCTGCACTGGCCATGGGCCGTGCATGTCGATATGATCCATTTCGCACGAATGCGTGGCGGCGGCGGCGGCGGCGGCGGCGGCGGCTTCTTCACTGCTCAGGTGGGACCAATGAATGATGCAGAAGTGTTTTCGTCCTGGCACGCCCGGACCTGGCGCCTTCGTCGCGGTCTGGGACGATAGAGGGGATGGCCTGCATGAACGTGGGTGGTTTCTGATGGGGGACTCTGGATGAGAGCACGTCCCAAGAACGACAACGAGCATCGGGCCAATTTTCCTGCCACGAAGGTAGTATTCAAAACAAAGGGAGATGTCTTCTGCGGAGTAAGGAGCCGGCAGGGTGCTTGCGTTGGCGTCGAAAAATATGGGCTCATCGTCATCGTCCGATCGGAGCTGGAGAAAGTCGCGAAAGACAAGGTGAAAGGGGGAGCCAGTAGTGGTGGATTCGCAGAAGCGCCTCAGCGACTCCATCCCAGCGATTTCTGGCTCAGAGGGGTCGCCGGTGTATGACGGGAGAGCTACAACGAGCAGGTCGGTCATCGTCCAGCCATGTGAGGCGATTGCCGTTCCTGGGTAATACATACACACAACGGGGTTTTGTGCGGGCTGGTATAGCGTAGCAGCGCCAGCGTTGGTCCTCTCGTCGTCCACCCTTTCAAGCAAGAGGAAGAGGGGGTCGGGATTTCTGCAGAATACGTCGACGAGGAGGAATCTCTTTGTATCATCCAGATGCAGAACTGCCGCATGGAGATCGATCCCATCTGGCGACACGGAGAACGTGGGAGCACCGAGTTCTGCAGTCGGGCTTACAATCAAGCCGTGCTAAAATTGCTCGTCAATATGGTACGGCATAGAATGACATACATACCAGCGTACCTCAATTGTTCCTTTCTGAGAGCGTGCACTTGGGTCGTAGAACACCTTAGGATTATCTGAGCAGAGTACGTTAAAGATCGGCGAAGGCTGAAGAGGGAGAAGATGACGACGGGTTTGGCTTTGGGGATATCGCTGGAGGTGCGATTTGAGATTATCCAAGCCGTGCACATCCAGTCGTTCTCCCAAGAGAAAGATCGAAGGATCCCGCGAGGTCTTCGAGATCTCCATGAGGAGCCGGCAGAATGCGAGCCGCCCTTCGCCGTAGAGCGTCGGCATGTTGACCCCGAAAAGCCCGAAGAGGCTGTAGGCAGCGTCTTCCAGCCGTGTGGTTTCCCGATGCGCCGCCCAGGATATGCGCGTCGCGATGCTCGCCTCTGTAAACGGGATCTCGAAGCGGAGGACCTCTGCGGAGATTCCGGTTGCGTTTTCTAGGCGCTCGGCGAGCTCGTACTTGGTGCCCAGAGAGATCCACTGCTCGGAATAGAACACAAGGACACGGGACGCAATGAGCTCTTGGAGAGTCCAGCCTCGCGTGTGCCAGCGGCTTGTTCGAAAGTCGAGCCACATGTCGGCTGAATTAGTGTCGGAGAACTTGACGTCGCTGAGGTAGACGTAGCAGATGGTGGAGACAGCGTAGTAGCGGAACATGGAATTGATGCCTTCCGAGAGCTCGGCACTGCTCTCCTTGTTGATGCAGCACGTGTCCACCCAAGCATACTCGTACCCGTGCTTCTCGGCAAGCTCAAGGAATGATCGAACTTTTGGAGTGAGGCGATCGCGTGGGTTGAACCATGGTGGCGACGAGCGGGATGGCTCAGCGACTCCTTGGATATGTGTAGGAGTAGTAGGGGAAATCGGTATCACGGGAGGACGTGTATCTGAATCTGTCGAGTGGTCTTTGGTCTCGTCTGTCAGCGCTGAGGAAGGATGAGCTTTGATTACACTGACCTAGCTCGCATTCAGAACCAGATGCTCTCCTATCTCGGTGATTCCAGTCGGCCTGAGCGCGGACGATGGGGAAGGACTCGGTACCGTGAGGAGGACGTAGGTATAGCGGCAACTTGAGCATTTTCCTGATTTGGGATTTTACTTTATGGAAAGCATTTTTTAATTTTTTGCGAGCCGCAGATTCCTTTGGGACTGCATCGGAAATTGGAGAGCGGACCTCGTCGTGGATAACCGCCGCTACTTCAGAGACTGCCTGGAAACTGAGAGGTCGGGGCTCAGCTGGGGGCAAGGGACGTTGGTCTTCCTGGGAGCAGGTGCTGTTGGATTCTACATTAAGCTTTTGAACCTTTTGAAACGTCTCTTCTTCTCCCCCCCAGGTGTGCGACAGGATGGCGTAGCCTCGAGGAACATTTTCAGGTTGGGGAAAGAAGACGAGGTTCGCGCGTGCGGTGCCTAGGAGCCACATCGCTTCTTTCACGAATATTAGCACAGGTATATCACGCGAGGGTAAGCACGAATACCAGGTGAGAGTTGATGTGCACGATTCGTGGGAGGAGTACAGAGACTTCGGGGGCATGAGCAAATGCGATGCACAGCATGGGAAGACCGGACTTACAATGAGAATATCTACCACAGTCGTTTGCGATACTTGATATCACAGAGGGCATCGATGGCTGGGAGGAGCCGCAAAATAGACTGGAGGAGACGCAAGATGGGTTGGGAGCGAGACGGAAGCGGCCAAGTTGCAGCGAGGGAGACCCCCGTCCCATACGCCGACCGCACGATCGACCATGCGCCGGAACACGCACGCGATGGCGCCGGAGCGCCTCCGAGTCCGATGCTTCTCCTGAGATATGAAGGCCGACGGAGTGGATGCCCGCTTGACGCTCCCAGGGCGAGATTACTTACCTTCCCTGCCACGTATGTGTCATATTGTATCGTGCGTGTTCGCCATTGAGCGAAGCTGAAAGCTATATCATTGAGTCGTCCTCGGATAGACGTACACGACGTGGTCCTCAGATACTTCATTGTGGAATTGTACGTACAACCACAACACTCCAGATTTACAACGAACCTTGAATCACTGGAGAGGACAGTAGCGGGCTGCGGGTGTCTGATCAGCCTCGCTCGTCAATGACAGCGCGTGCGAGCCAATAGGCACCATACGCCAGCTAGGTGCGAAGCGGGGATCAGAGAGTAGCTCAACGCCGTCTCCAGGAGGAACAGGCGCGATGCTCTGATAGCTCTCTTTGGCCGCACAACGAGCGGAGATGAACACCCCTGAGATAAATAGGTCAGCCGATCCTAAGCACGCGCAGGACATACTGTTGCAACGAGGATTCAGGTAGTTCCGCCGCAGTGCTTCGCCGCGGTGCCGACGATCTTCGGACACTGAGTCGGTTACAGGAGCACGTCTGCGTGCGTGAATAGCTAGATTTATGATACCATGAAGAGCGGCGCGCGTCGAGTGCATGAAGGAGGAGAGGAGCTGGCTGCGGACTCACATGATCACCACGGTGCTACGCTCGACCACGCGAATGACACTCGACGTATATAGTGCCGAAATGAGGGATCGGGAATCATCGTGCAAGACTCGAAACGTGGCGGTCCTTGTCGAAGTTGACGCAGTTGGCCCAGGCACCAGCGCCAGTTAACCAGACCACGGTCCGCATTCTGTCGGTATCGGCGGCCGTCTCTTCCTTGTTTGCTCCGGGCGTTCATGAACAACTTGTCTTCTGTGCTCGCGGCGTTCGTTGATGTCGCAGTGGGGGAGGTTCGAGCCCGAGTCACTTATACCGAAGGGGATCGTGGCGTTATCCCCCGCTCGGATGCCTGTGGACACGACGTGGTGCTGCGGCGGAGCGAACTGCGTGGAATGCGGGACCGTGCAGGTGGAACGGGTGTGGCTGGCCAGGCGCGGCATAGCCAACGGGAAGGAGACATATGCATGGTGGCGAGGACGTGCCGCCTACTAGGATCCGGAGGGGACGGAAACGCGCGGGAGTCGGCACCAAGTGATATGAGCTCGCGGAGCGTATCGAGCGCAGAACGCGCGCCCCGTCTTCGTCCTCCGTCTCGAGACGCTGCCCACGGACACGAGCGCATGCGCATCGCGGTCGACGACTCGGACAATCTGCAAGCGCCGATGACGACGCGCCTGTTTAGGCCTCCGGTCCGGCGACTCGCGAGCGCCGGACGCCGGAACATCCGCAGGTCGGACACAACGGCGGTGCTACGCTCTTTCCTGCTCTTCGTCACTCTTCTCCAGCTGCCTTCAAGCCTCGCACCTCTCCCCTGGACGCCGGCTGGACGCTCTTGTTGGTCGTCGCGTGGCCAAGTGGCAACCGTTTGAGACCAGCATGAGTGGCCTTCACAGGGTGCGTTCTTTCGGTCTGCCTATCGTTGCGTCCAGACACCGAACAGGTGCTTTAGCCATCTCGCTGGCTCTTGACAGTAGGGGCTCCTGCGCCACCTGTCATCAAATCTGGCTCAGTACGTATATGCCATTGTTTGCATTCTTCGTCAGAGCCCCTCTAACCTCCGGTTCCGCTCAGGACTGTCGGCCACCTCGTCAGACCGGTGAACACACACTCTCCGCAACCATCCGACGGGCTGGGTAGTTAGAGCGAGAGCGTCCGGTCGGCGGTGGCTGAGGTCAAGAGTGAGTCCACAGCTACACCCTCACCCCATACCGCGATCAACGCCTCCCCTCCCCTGTGGTTGATGTCGATTGCTTATCGTCGCAATCGCCGCGTCCTCTCAGACGTGCGCGCTCTCCCTCTTCCATAGTTTGGTCACCATCGGCAGGCGATGCCAGTCATACAGTCGCATGTTCAATGCCTCATCGAAATACAAGACGTTATCAAAATTCATGAGCGTCGACCTGTTCAACGTGTACGTCGCTCGGGAACCCTTGGTGGGTGCGCCCAGGAAGCAGCCCAGTATTGAAGGTGAATTCAGGCCATATTTTTTGTTACCGCGTCCCGTAGTCGGCGCTCCCCTCCCATGTACATTTTGCCGTGCGGTTGCTGACGGGGTTTTTAGCGAACTTTTACTTGTCAAGACGTCTCGCGCTCGGACGAAAGTATGTCGCTGCGTAAGCTGCCTACGAGCCAGCGTCAGCCCGAGGAGGGAAGGGCAATCAATGATAGCAGATGAGCTTGCTGCGCTTCAGCCTCGCGTGACTACTGAGCGAGGTGTGTATTGTGCTGCGATCATATGGAACGACTTGTGCTGACGATGGTTCTATTCCGTAGGCACCTATAGTCTCTCGCTTCCCCGGGACGACTGGTGGTCTATAATGGAGACGATACTGCTTCCAACCAAGCCGTGGTGCGTTGCTTCGATCTTTTGATGCTCGATCCACTTTCTAACATATTGCAAATAACGGATATCCGTCATCCTTGACAGTCGTGGACTAACGACTCGCGCGGAGGACTCTGTTGGCAGCTCGAGCGTGGATAATCGATATCGTAGAAGGACCGCACCCCCGTGCACCTCCACTGCTCAGTCGGATCCGGGCGGACCGGCGGGTTCATCGCCGTCCACGCCGTCCGCGGCAAGATGCAGAAGCACAAGGAGGGCTAGGTTGAGGACCCCGTCATCTCGCAAGCCGCGTCGGAGTTCCAGGCACACTCCGGTGTGTCCAACGAGTACCGCAGTCGATCTCCCGCCTCCCTGTAACGGCCCGACGACGAAGGACAACACATAGCCCACGGTTCCGGACTCTATCGGCGACTGCGAAGTCGATGTAGCTTTCGCCGGCTTCACCCCAGATTCCATGGATGTCGAGGCCTGCTCCCGTCCGGCCCCTGTCTCCTCCGAGCCCCACACGCTGCCACGCTCGTCCGACGTGGTCTCACCCCCGATAGTGCAGGCTCCGCCCGAGCTCTTGGAGGAGGTCCATCGCGTGGCGATGGGCGTGTCGCCGGCTACCCCCCACGCACCAGTTGCCGCATTCTGCCCATCAAGGACCAGTCGCACGTGTTCGAGCGGTGGCAACAGCGGCGGGTCCGCGGGTCGGAGCAGTGGGAACGCGCGAACCTCCCCGTCCGGCGGCCAGGCTCGCCATCGACGAGCGTGTTGGACAGCCTCCCGAGCTCCGTCATCGGAAAGACGGGCAGGTTGTGCGTCAACGTCCTGGGATCGGTGTCAGTCCCTGGTCCTCAAACCTGTCGCTCGCCGCCCAGCTGTAACTGGTCTAGAACTCCGGGCGGTCGGAATTCCAGTCTTCGAATCGCCCTCGCCCCCTGCAGTGCTCGCCGCTGCCGCGGACTCTTCCTCCCCTCTTCCTCCGCCAACGCCAAAAACACGCGGAAGGAGTCCCAGAGCCCCTGTGGCCGCCCCTCTCCCGACAGCACGACGCACATCGCGACCCGCGCAAGTTGCACCCGGACTCGTCGTCGCCGTTGCTGTCGACGCACGACTCTGAGCCGACTCGACGTGTGATCAAGGACATGCACAACCTCTGCTAGAGCTTGCCTTTGCTCGCCACGCGGTCGTGGGGGGTTATTTGATGATTGCCGACGAGGAGAAGCGGCAGGCGGAGTACCGCGCGCGCGCATTCGCATCTGCACCCCCTGCGGGCTCGGCTCTTCCGGCCCCTTCACGGCCGCATCCCCCCGCCCTCGGCGCTCAGTGTCAACCTGGGCACGCGCAACCCGACGCGCTCGCTCCATCGCCTCGCGTCGCCCTATGCAGCGGATTCCGCGGACCCTGGGAGCCCCGCGTGCGTGGCTGTTGAAGAAGTGGAGCGTCTCGGGGATGCAATCTGACGGCCTCACGTGCGACGCAGGCGCGAGTCCTGGACGGAAGGGTTACGTACGACGGAGGTCCAATATAGTAGTGCCATGAAATGCTCTGGCGGAGACACTCGACGGACGCACCGGAGCAAGGGACGCGCAACGTCGGTCGTTGACGTCATCGCTCGGATGGCACGTACGACGGCCCGGATCGACGCCGTGTCGGGCAACCTCTGCGCTTTGTCCCCGCACACTCGCCCTCGCCCACCTGCACGACGCCGCAGACAGACAGAGGATGGGATGGAGTATGCCGGTACGTCAGCTCAGGCCCTCGCTCTTGCGTTCCTCCCCACGCGTCCCTCGCGCGGGTGTGTCCCTTTAAACGACGTCCCCACCGCGAGTCGCTTGAAATATGGAAGGCGTTGACGGCCGCGGGATATTTGTGGAGGGTAGATGGCGCTGGGATCGTGGTATGGAGGAATGAGCACTCTAGTTGCGGACAGGAGCCTACCGCCCTTGTTCTGTGGACAAGTGATGCTGACCTATGCCATTTCAGGAGCTCTCATCATACGTCCCAGAAGGCCCGCCTCAATGAGGCACGGCGACGGTCCTGACGACGTCCCACAGACGCAAGACACACGCTCTGTGCCGCGGTGCGCGCAGGTTCAGGCTCAGGACGCGCTCGCGCGCAGACACGAAGATCCGGATGGAACGATGAATCCCGCAGGGCCAAACCAGTGCGCTGCCAGGTGTGTGCGGCTGCTAAAGCCTCGCCCACCGCTGCTCACAACATCCCTTCTCGGAGGTCGCCAGCCACTCCCGCATCCCCTCGCCGAGCTCGCGACGCGTGTCAACACCTGGCCACGCGCGTGCTCGGCAACACCTTCATCCTTGGACGCACACGCCATTCAACGCCGATGAACGTCCGCCTTCCCCCCAACTTGGTCGCGTTCTTCGGCCCCTTCATGCGCCTCCAATGCGTCGGCCACCTCACCTACTGGCTCTCCGAATTTCGCGCACGCATCCTCAGCGGCTCCACGGCACGTTCGCGGTCTCGGATCGCAAGCCGCGGCACATGCTCACGGACCGGGTGGCTCGTCAACCTCGATATCGTGCTCGCGACCACGCTCACCGCCCTCACCGCCCTCCGCTTCTCCGCGCTCACCACGCTCCCAGCCGGCTTCGCGCGCGCGCCGACATCGCTATGCGGGAGGCGCCGCTCGAACCAACGAGCGCAATGCACATGTTCATGACAGGGCACCCGCTCCCGTGGTGGTCGCGTATACAGGCGCCGTTCCAGCTGTGCACGCTCCTCGTCCTGTGCCGCGTGGACACCATCTCTCTCGGCTCGCTCGCCGAGGCCGACCTGGTCCGGGCGCGTGTTCGAGGACCGGCCGTGGGCGCCGGTGCGAGGGACGGCGTTCGTGCTCACCGAGCTCGAGTACGTGCACCGCAGCAAGTCCGTGCGGGTCCGGATGAGCGAAACGCGGGTGGTACGGATACGGGAGGAGAGGCGGTGCACGGTGCTGTACCGAGGCGAGAATCGGTCCCAAGGTGCGCCAGCCTTTTTGCGTTCAGAGGTGGTGTTTTGATCAACGTTACTAGCACCAAGGGTTTGAGGCGAACGAGCAAGGCTTTCCGCTCCGCCGGTCCACGAGGCTTCAGGCGACTCGTTCTTCCGGATATGGGCCACAGATCTAGAGCGCAGCGCAGCGCTCGACGAAACAACCTGCGGCCCATCGGGTTGAACCTACTCGGGACGGCGGGTGGGATGCGCTGCTGCTCGATCGCGCGCTGCCAGCTGTGAGGCCTGCAGCGCGCAAGCCTAGTCCGACGGGGGCCCACCCGAAGCCTTCGAGAAAGCTTCAAGCTTTCCACCAAACCATCAAGCCTGCGGGAAGGGATACCGGCGGGGATGCGATCGTGATCGGGCGCGGGCGCGGCCGCAATCTCCGCCTTCTCCCTCTGCCGCCACCGGTGTCTTGGATACTTGGCACTCGAGTTACTCATGTCGAAGGGGAGCGGGCATGGTGGATGGCGTGACCGTGCAGGTGGAACGTATGCCGGAGTCCGGGGGACGCTGCAGGCGAGACTCCGCGTGTCTAGGCACTAGTTATCTGTCAATGCGTAGAATGTGTTCGCGAATATATAGGAGGCTTCTCTCGTATCTGGCAAAGAACCTACAAGCTTGGCGCCATTCAATGACTGCTTAACGGTGTACGTGCTACTCCGACGCTCACGCTTTGGCGCTAAGTACTTGCTTTGTCCGTCCGTTGTGGCGCGAAATGATGGCCCTGGACATGTCTCAGAATCTCCCAATCCGCAAGGTGTGATTGCATCGGATGAAACCGCCACCATCACTGTAGCAGTATAAAAGCACCAGGACAGATAGTTGCTCCCCTCTGTCTGCCCTCTCCTCTAACTCACGGTCTTCTCTACTGTCAAGCTCGTCTCATCGACATCATCAGATAACGCCATCATTCGAGCCATGATACTCTGAGGAAGTCCCCGAGCAAAGCGCGGGGAATGTCCATCTCTTCGTGGTATGTAACGTATTTCGACCTCCCTTTCAAAATGTTCCCGCATGACTGCCACTCACAAATACGCTTCGTTTGAGCTAGCTCCGGTGGCGCCCGTACGTGCGACCGCCGCGCGGACACCGAAAGCGGGTACCGGTCGAAGAATGGCTAGGAAGGTGTGCGGTACGTGACGCTTCGCACGAGTCCTCTGCGCTGCTACTGCTACCGCCGCAAAGGGCGCACAAGCCGCTTCGAACACGTGCACCCTCCACTGCAGTTGGCACGGACGCGTCCGAGATCGCACGCGTCCGTAAATACCTCGGCCGCGGGGAGTGGCAAGTGCCCGCAACTGACGGGCGCTACCACATCGAGGTGTGCGCGCGACGTTCAGACTGGATCCAATCTCGAAGCTCGGGGAACGGCGCGCTGGAGTGCGCACGCGCGCTCACGAGGCACAGGCCTTCAGTTCGATGCGCGATCGGGCGGTGGCGGCGGAATATGTCAACCGTGCCGATCATCGAACGAAACGACCAAACTGAAAGCTGAAAGACGATGATGTGAGACGACGTCGACTGAGTGCTACGCTACGATGCAGGATACCCAAGAGACCAACAGTGCTTGAGCCAGGTGAGGCCCATGCTCCGTACCGCGGCTGGCGTTCCACACATCCCCGGCGTCCGTTCCCTGCATTACCCGCATGTTCGTCAACCACACACGAGTGTGTCATCATCAGTGTGCATACCTTCTGGTCGTTGACTCCGGAAGTAGACGAGGGAGTATCGCTCGTACAGCGCCAGCCGTTCTCCAGGAGGAGGTCTGTTCAGAGTCGAGTCAGTGGAGACGGGGTGCGCGAGCGACGGGACACTTACACGACGTGGCGGAGGGTCTGAGAAGGCTACCGCTGATGATTGTCGGCGATGTCGCAGATCGCGTGGCCGGGAATAGGCTGTATCGCTGCGGGAGGGCGGTCGGCTCCATGCCAGCGCGACCGTGCGATGGGGACCTACCTTGGACATACCGCCACATCCGCGTTCCAGCAGCCCCCCAAGACGGTCATGCAAGAACGACGGGCTGCCAAAGTCGGTATGAGCGGTGAGCGGTGAGCGGCGCCTTGGCTCTGTCGATGCCCGGGCTGTTCAGACCAGCACCTCGCTCACGCTCCACTCCTCCTTCCGATGCTTGCTCGCAAGCGTCCCCCGCAGCCGACCTCTCCTCGTTAAGAATTGCGATCATCGTCTTGTTTACCTCAATCACGCACCGGATGAGTGGGATGCGCGCGTTCACTGGCGCGGGGTAGGTGCGGCGCGCGACCTGGGCCAGGCGAGCGCGTCGTCCGCGGCAACGTTGAGGAACTCGGTAGGTGTCGCGCGCGCCGGGGGCGTCGGTGAGCGTCGCGCCGGACGCTTTGTACCCGAACGAGAATCCGGAGTTGCCACGCCATCTTGTCTGAGAGGGAGAACACGAATGTTGCGGCGCCGGTGTTGAACGGTCGTTCTGGGGCCGTGTGCGCACGAGATGGGGAGAACCGATGCATGTACCAGGTTACACCGTCGCAGTGGCCAGCAAACCGGATGACCGCTGTGGGAGTCTTCGAACTGCGACTATTTGGAAGCGCCGATACGGGAACACCTTGGCGGGAGTCGAACTCAGGGCCTCAGGAGCTTAGTCAGCACACTGCTCCAACTTGCTCTTGCTCCTAGCGGTAGCTCTCAGATCTCAGGATTGCCTCAACTCGTCCTCAAACCGCTCCTTAGTCCTTGACAACGCAACTTTTCGTCTCGACACTACGGATTCGGGTCCTGAAGTACACGATTGGGCGGCATGAAAACCGCGGCGTTCACCAAGCGTCCACCTTCCTCACTCCGGTATCTTCCCTCCGAGCACCCAGTCTTACACGTCTAAGGACCGTGTCCATCCCATGCGAAACCACGGAGATGGCGGAGAAAGCACGATGGCAAAGGATTGCGGCGTGTTATGATGGTATGTCAATTAGCGTTACATCCTCCGCGCGCATCCCAGTGCCAGGCTACTGCAACTTCAAGTGGCCATCCCTTCCCTCCCTGTTTGTCTTCATAGATCTTCTCTGACATCGGTGATGTGGTAGATGAACACGCATACACGAAACTGCGGAGAAGCCCCATGTACGTCCTTCACCTCGAATCCCTCCTCGAATGCTCCGCGCGTCTTCGACACTCCCTATCATGGTTGTCAACCCTTGAGTGAGTCGATTTCGAAGTCGGTCGGCGAGGCTCGCAAATGCTGAGCACGTCTTGCTCACAGCTTGTCGCAGCTCGAGACACGACAACGCTCCTCGATGCAGACCGCCGCCAGAACGTCCCCGCGCCCCTTTCTACTTCTGTCCACACTTCCACAATCGCTCATGAAGGCGGTGAGGACGATCATGAACGGGATGATGTCCCCGACCCGGACTCAGACCCGGACTTCAACTCGGCAGACGACGTCAAGAGCGACGCGAGCCACGACGAAGAAGACTCCAAGAACCCTGTCCGACTTCTCAGCAACTCCCAGTCGACGCTGGGATCCCTTTCCACGGACAATGCTTTTGTCCTTGTCGATGGCGCGCAACATCACGAAGAGGTTTACCCCTCTACCTCAAGAACGTCTAAGCCGCCGAGACCGTCGCTTTAGTCGGTGCGTTCCTCCGACATCTCCCGAACCTGGAGTACTCTTTCAAGCGTCGCATCGTAGAAGATCTCGCAGACACCGACCGGTTCGAGAGCTGCCGCAAGTTGAACATCATCGAGTAGGCGCGCTCGGGCTCGTGGAAGTCATTGCAGTCGTGCCGCGCCCTCCTCAGCGCCCTCTTCCTACTTGCGCCCTCCTGCCCCATCCGCACGCTCTACATCAAGGGCCCGACTTTCATCGTCAAGGCCATGTACTCCGTTATCTGCTGCACCAAACCCGTGCACCTCACCCTTGAAAGCAGCAGCCAACTTCGACGCTGGCGTCCTGGCGCGGGGTATCGTCCGCGTCACGGACCGCGCCCACACCCTGCAGATTGAGTGCCTAGAAGCAACCCTCATCGCCGGCTACCACGCGGACTCTCCGACGTCGTACGTCCCTTGAATCCGCTTCCGCCCGCGTTTCTTCGACGCTGATGTGCTGCTCCGCGGACCGCAGGACGGCCTCTTTGATAGTAGAAGGGCTGCCTAGGGGAGACTAGGGCGGCCTCGTCGCCGCAATCGGGAGCCTCCCCGCGCTCCGGGTGCTCGTCGTCGGCGTCTTGTGCTACCTCGTCGCGGACCCCCCATGCGCGGCCGAGGCGTTCATGCGCGGGCTCGACCTGGACGCGCTCGCGCGCCGGCTGTGCGTCGCGTGCCCCACGCTGCGGACCGCGGACAGGATGGGAAATCCCGGGCACCGGGGTACGGAGGCGGTGGGGTGAGTAGATCGATCGTTGTACGCGGATGTTGGGCCGATTTCGTACGTTTGCAGGGAGGGGCATTCTGCAGAACCACGCGACGTGGAGCGTGAGGCTGGGGAGGTTTCCAGTGATGGTGCTATGTAGGACGAGTTGCGGTCCTCACGAGGGTGGGGACGGTGATGTTCGTCGACCTTCCGTATCGAGTTAGTATTAGACATACAATGTCACATTTGGCTCTACGTCCCGGAGGAAGCATTGAGTGAGCTGTACCATGCTCGAAATAAATATCCGGTTGTCGTTCATGTCGAGCATACTCATCGGGTACACCAAGACGTTGCAGATGGGGCCTAGACTTGGAGTGTCCATCTCCACGCGTCGTTTCTACATGTTCACGTATAGATACCCGTCCGCAGACGGCGCAATTGGGGGGTTCGCAACGCATGTATTCATCGAGAGCTACGACTGTACATAGTACATATACGTTATTCGAAGCTATTCAGATCTTCCCCTGGCTCGGAATCGCTGTGTCCTCGGTACCCCGCCTATCCGTCCAGCTCTCCGCACCCTACCGGCTTCATCGGCCCTTCGCAACAGCGCACGTCGGCGGGACAGGACACACCTCGTAGTTCGTCACCCGCTGCGACTTGACCATCCTCACAAGCCACCCCATCACCGTCACACCTGGGGCGTGCTTCCCGGGGGCGCGTCGGCGACCGCCGCAGCGATGCGCTCGCTCTGCGCGGACAGCGCCCGCAGCTCGACGGTGTCGTTCGGACGGGTGAAGAACACGACCGAGTGCCGTTCGTACTGGGCTTGCTCCCGCGGAGGCGGGCTGGGAAGGGAATGAGACGCGGAGCATCGGCACTTCGTGGACAAACTCACACGACGCGATGGATGTGGAGCGCAGGATGCCGCCGGAGAAGATGTTGAGGACGTCGCCGATGTTGCAGATCGCGTGTCCGGTCAGGGGCTGGGAGACGGACGACCGCATAAGCATGAGCGCGGAGGATCGAGAAGGATCACTGACCTCGACGTAGAACCACTGATCAGACCCGGGCGGAAGCACCTGCAAGCCACCGAGGCGGTTGTGCAGCAACGACTGGGGAGAGCGATGTCGGTACAATGCAAGGGGATACAAGGCAAATCACTCACCAAGGACCGAAAGTTAATGTGCACCGTCAGCAACGTCTTCGCCTCCGGCCCAGGATACGACGGCGCTCTGATGAACCGCGCCGTACATCCGCTGAACCCCTCGACCTTGTGCAGAGACGCGAGCGTGCCCTCAGGGAGTCCGAGCTTGTCGTTGAGGACGCCGATGGGGCGGTTGTTGATCGCGAGCGAGTTCTTCACAAACGGCGTGACGATGGACTCCATCGGTGCGTTGACGGCGGAGGGGTACGTGCGACGTGCAACCGCCGGCCAGGTGTGCGTGTCGTCTTTGAAGATGTTGACAAACTCAGGTACGTCGCGCGTGCCGATGTCTGCCTTGTAGCCGCGCCGATGCGGAGGTCGGTGGAAAGTGCAAAAGCAAGCGGTTGGAGAGAGCGTACCCGAACGAAACACCTTGGTCTCCCTGTTCAAAGAGGAGCTTCTCCTTGAGGGTAAGAGCGATCGTCTCTTCGCCCATCGCAAACATACCTTCCGCTTCCTCGTGTACGCCGTGGTTCATGAGGCTTGGGACGGATCACCTATTAGTCGTAACGTTCACTGAAGCACTGCGGAGTCACTCACTACCAAACCCTATCTCCGTCGCAGCCCTCCAGAACTTCTCAACCTCATGCGCATCTCGAGCTCACAGTCGATCCGAACAGGACAGGTGGGGACGTCCTGAGGGAAAGGCGGTTAAGTTTTCAGACCAGGCATAGCGACACCAACTCAGGCAGTATGGATCGCAGCGTACCTATGCCCCTTGAGTTCATGAGAAGGGTGTCGGCACTCCGTACTCCGCGAGAAATGTGCTAAACTTGCAGCACGATATCATGGCTCGGAGAGGGATGAAGTGGCGAAGCAAGAGCAAGGCGTGTCTTGGTGAGAGTTTCGCAGGGCAGGATGGGTGTGGATGGGGAAAGGTAGGAGGAAGTGGACGTTCGATGAGACGTGCGCTCTTCCGGATCGGCTAGATCGGTCCCCGTGCGCGTTGGCGCCGGTCACCTGATCGCCACGACTCCCCTTCCTCATCCGTCTCCTCGTCTCGGTCCCGCTGTATCCTCCACGTCTCCCCTCGTATCATTGACTCGGACTACCCTACGTATATATAGTAGTACAGGTGTAGGGCGAAAGCTCCAGTGTTCCGAAGAATCCCAGACCTTACCCCTGTCTCTCCCTTCGTGAACCTCTTCCCCCGTGTCGCACCACCGGCCCGCTTGGACCGCGAGCGCGACATATTTTTGACAGTCACTCGTCTACTCTTCACCCCTACTCCTCTCTACTAGCTTATCTCTCTCTCTCCGACTGGGCGCCCTCGAGCTTGATCACCTCGACTACCTCTCGGATCCCCTCTCCCCATCCCGACATTTCTTGCAAGAACCCTCACCATGGCCGCACCTTTCTCTCGCTACAACCTCCGTCGACCTCGCACCACCGAACCAGCCTCTCTCGCGACGGTCGCCGCTGGCAACGAACCTGGTGAGTCCATAATCAACCGTACTCGTGAGGCTGAAGAGCCTCTCTTCCATAGTCCCCTCTCCTCTCCGGAGGATCCTCGCGCTTCGAGCGCGAGTCGCGCTGGTGTTTACCGCGCGTCCACTGCTCGGTCGAGCAGTGCCGGAACCGCACGCGCACGCTCTTACGCAGAGGTCGCGTCCGGAAGCCCGCGACTCCCGAGTCAACCCACGGTTAGTGGGCACTCGGCGGCTTTGGTAGCAACGAATATATTTCGTTCGCCCCTTCTACCTCCACGAGAGCTGGCATCGCCGCTCTCTAGTGTGCACACCCCTTCGGTGGCTGCTTCTAACCCTGTCGACACCGTTCAAGATGAACAGGATGGCCCCTGGACGACGGTCCAGCGAGGTCGTCAGGGCAGGACGAGCTCCCGACAGGCTTCTGAGCCTCCCCGCGCGACGCCGATCGTCGCGCCCGCACCGCGTCTGTCCCTAGAGCAGCTGCGCGCTGTTACTCGCGCTACCGCTGACTTGACTCCTTCTGAGCACGCGCGTGTTGAGCGTCGCTCTAACGCGATGAAGAAGGCAGCTTCGTCGGCCTCGTCCACGTCTGAGTCGCGTGGCGAGGGCCCTTCTCGCATTCCGGCTGAGCTGAAGGGCAAGGCCATTGATACCCGCGACTGGGACGTCGCCGATGTCCCTGACCTCGACCTGGGAGCGCAGCGTCGCGCGTTTCAGCTATACGAGTATCTGCGCACGCTCCCATCGAGCCGGCAGCCGTCATCTGCTGGAGCGTCGCAGACCGACCGGGTATCGCAATGGCGCGACCAGCTGCGTGCGCCGGAGCCCACTGCTGCTATTCCCTCTCGTGCGCCTGGCGTGGAACCTCCTCCGAGCTCCGCGTCGCGCGCGAGTTCATCCAGACCGCCGTCTGATCACAACCAGACGGATAGTTCATTCAAGGTTACCATACCTATGTACACACAGTTGTTACAAGAACATAACCAGCTTCTTCGCGAGAACAACAACCTTCGCATGCAGAAGACCTCTCCGAGCAGTGAGAAATCTGTGCTCCCGAAGTCCTCAAAGCGCGCGGTAAAGCGAGAGGACGTACCTGTGGGTTTGGACGAGTTTGGCCTCCCCAGGGAACGTACTGCAGCGCGCGATACAAGCGCAGGACTTGACGCTGCCGCCGCGCGAGGGACATCGCTGCGACCGGTAGCTCAGATTGAGCCCGGCAGCTACCTCGGGCGTGCCTTCGACGACCTCATTGGAGGCGGCTCTGCTGGAGAGCCCCCCGGTGATAGCTCGTCGAGCTCTTCGAGTTCTGGTACGGCTCGAGGCGGTGGCGGTGGGCCACCGCGTGCGCATCATAACTCAAGCTCGTCGTCCTCGAGCTCGAGCAAATCTGGCAGCAATCGGCACCGAAACCATCGTAAGCTCCGGCTCAAGCCTGAAAAACCAGAGCCTTACGATGGACGCGTCGATGCGCAAGCCTTCCACAAGTTCATGCGACAGACTGTGGAATATCTGTCAGCATTCGACATCAAACCTGAGATGTTACCCTCTCAAGTATCTAACTTCTTGAAGGGTAAAGCATACAGCTTCTTTGTGACGTCTGTATCGTCTGCGCCGCGCGAATGGACGCTTCGCAAGCTGTTCGTTGGCTTGTTCAATTACTGTTTCCCTGTCGACTATCGTCTACAAATGCAGGAAAAGTTGAATAAGTGTAGGCAAGGCGATCGCAGCGTACGAGATTTCGTACATGAGCTCGAGAACCTGTTCTTGATGGTCGGATTCGTCTCACCTCGCGAACGACATCAGTAATTTCCCAAAGTCCTGTGGGGTCCTGGGGGGTCTGACCAGGGTTCCCAGGAACCCAGGGATTTCGCTCCGGGCGTCCGGGCGTTCAGGCCGTCTCCGGGCGTTCAGGGTGCCAGTCCGGCCAGTTCGCTCAGGGCTCAGGGCTCAGGGCTCAGGGATTCTTCGGGCAGTGGTTTCAAACCGAGAAATTATTACATTTACTACAGTAGGGCGAGAACGGGCGAGAACGAGAACAGTTGATATGCGAGGCTATTAGAACAGCGACAAGAGAGCTTGTATCATGCTAACAGAGTCCTAGAAAGCGGCGAGGGAGACGAAGATGTACGTAGTACTGATGCGAAAGCGTCCCGGACTTTTCAGGGATAATAATTAGACGACAGTGGGGATGAATGCGATATTGAAGCTGGCGAAGTGGTAGTGCACGAAGACGAGTGCGTGGGGACAATGTCAGTGCATCACGAGAGCGACGTATCGAGAGCGGGATCTGGAAAGCTGCAAACGGGAACGGTGCGTACGGACTCGGGACAGGAGAGCAGGATCTGCAAACGGGAATGGTGCGTGCGGAGGGACACAAGAGTGCCGGGGTCTGGAAAGCTGCAAAGGGGACCGTAGCGTGCAGAGAGACATGTCGCGCTGGTTGCCGCAATGGGGAAGATAATGTTAGTTGATGAAGAACGTCAGCATTGGACAGAGACTGACCATCCTCCTATTCCTCCGGGCGCGCTGGGTCGGAGCTCGACATCGGCTCACGGCGGTACATCCGGCTGGCACCAAGGTTGGTGTAGTCGCGCGCTGAAGGCTTGTGATTGGCCATGTAGCCCTCCGCGCACTCCATGAGCTCTTCCAGGCGTCTAGGGTGCTTCAGAAGATCGGCAACAGCGGTGTTGCGCCACTTCACAGTGAGATCCCTGTTCAGTCTTGCAGAGAACGGCGGTGGATTCTCCTTCTTGCTCTTCCTATTGATGAAGTGTTCAAATGCGCGCTCCACCTAGATCGCGACTTGTCAAACCAACACATATCCCGAGTAGAGTTGAACAACATACCGCTGCTGCCGCCATTGCAAGCGCCCCAACAGGAAACCCCGGATGCTTCACCACAGAGCCCTCAATAGAATCTAGATGGAAACCCAGAACCTTCAAAACGAACTTGGACTGCAGCTGAAGGCGGGCATATATCCCATGCTGGAACGTGTAAACGGGTCCGTGGTGGGTGCTAGTACTGAGACGGTGTGTCGAAAGGACGTACGTTTTCAGTGTTCGGCTGACCCCACATGGCCTCGCCTCCGATCTTCGTAGCCTCGTCTAACCATCTGCGGATACCGTTCGGTGTCCGGTCTTTGGGTGAAACGTTCACTGTGTCGCACAGGCGACGATCTATCTCGTCTTGAACTGCCTCAATGGCAGTGGTCGCAAATCCCTTGCGCCAGTCGTATAGCCCAGCTTGTTGAGCCTGTCAGAAAGTCTGTGATAAGGCTGTTTGAGGATCGATCCACGGTTGAGCCGGATCCGAATCCGCGGATCAAAGCTCTGCTAGAGGCTTGATCCGGAGCCGTGAGGGTCAGATCCTCCGGAAGACCCGGAGCCGTGGGAGCCGGAACCGTGGCTCACGGCTCCACCTGCGGACAGACCCGTGAGCCATGATGATCCACAGATATCCGTGGATACGGATCATTCAAACACATAGTAAGACAATAAATTATATTTCAGGTTAGTCTAAACACAGCAGAGACAGGGCTCAGAGTGATTAGAAGGTTGGGGTGGGGCACAGGAATGGCAGACGAGCTTGGAGTAAGAAAAACGTAGCACATGAACTAGGACGATGACAGGAGACAAGGACACGTAGGTGTAACATGCAGAATGTCAGAGATATAACAAGCACGATGGGATAGAACGTCTGAGGGTATCGCGGAGGAGAACGGGGTGTGGCTGCATGAACA